TGAAAATAACACTTAATGCATTTCATTCCTGAATAACATTTGTTATTTTTGGAAAATTTCAAAGCAAAAACTCTTCACACATTGAAAATTAATATATTGCAATTTCTTTCTTCCACCGACTTCTATGCATTAGGATACATTTAATAAGATTGCTAGTGTCGCCCTCTATTGGCGTCAAAATGAATTGCAGTGGACGGGCGTTGTCATCCATAAACACAAATTGTGCGCCCCGAAACAAACGTACATATTGTTCCAGAATGACGTCCCGATAGATTTGGCTTGTCATGGTTCCAATTTGAACATGCAGGTCAGTTCTGGAACCCAGAATAATTCCACCTCAAACGAGCACTCCTGCACCACCGTAACGGTGTCGTTCAATGATGTCTTCTTGGTGGTAACGGGTACCTGGAGCTCTCCATATGAAAGTCCGGCGAGAATCAGACTGCAAGCTAAACCTGGACTCGTCGGAAAACATCACACAAGCCCACTGTTGCGGTGTCCACAATGCGTGCTCTCTACTCCAGGTTAACCGCAGGCGACAGTGAGTTGCAGTAAGCGGAACGCATCTGACAGGTCTACGAGCATATAGACCAATTTGCCCTAAGCGTCTGTACACGGTCTGCCTTGAAATTGTCGTACCAGTGGCTGAAGAGAGCTGATGAGACAGGTCTGAGGCTGTGCTACGCCTGCTTCTTTTGGCAGTAACTGCCAAATACCGGTCCTCATCCGGCGTTGTAACTCTGGGGCGACCTGTGCTGTAACGTCTACTCACATTACCATCATCTTGGAATCGTTGCCAATGCCTGGAGATGACACTCTGGGCAATTCCAAGTTCGTCTGATACTTCCAGTTGGGTACGCCTACATTCCAGACGGCCGATAATTCTGCCACGGAATAAATCATCCAAATGCGTCCTTTGTGTCATAACGATTCGGTTACTGCACTGAAATGCTTAAAGCGCCTTCGAACAATCTTACTTCTTTGCCTGTATTCCTTATATATCACTCTCGTCATTGTGACGTACCATCGGTGTCATCTGGTTACTTCCTGAAATTTGCATATGATTCTTGAAGATGTGTGTAGTGATTTATTTATTTTAGAGTGACAGGTGATATATTAATTTTAGAGTTCGATTTCGGCCTGACTCCGAATTATCCTTAATTTATGGACATGAGTGTAGAACGGAGGATTTTATTTTGGAAAACTAATTTTTGCAAAACGTTTTCCCTGCAGTTACCCATGAAGGAACTTCATATAAAAAGTATTGTGCGAAGTAGCATGAGATCCTAAGTTCTCCAGTGATCACAATTTCCTGCTCGCATGCTACGCAGATTACACTGCGCTCATCCAAAAATCAAGAAAACCCGACAACGCAATCCTTCAATTACAAGGAAAAAATGACAGAAGTAGAAAATTGGTGTTGGACATGGAGAACACACATAAATCCTGATAAGTTTCAGGTCCTCCTCATCAGAAGCTACAAGAGGAGAGATTCTATTAATAACTCTGTTTATCTCTTCAGAAAACACGTTCCTTTCGTAAACAGTGCCAAATATCTGGGTGTCACCTTTAATAGATCCTTCACTTGGTCAGCGCACATCAATTCTACCAGGGGAAAAATCTACGGTATCAATGCAGAAATTTTATTTATTACTCTCAGAAAACTCAGGACTCAGCATGACCAGGAAAAAGCATATTAATGCCACCATCATCCGTCCCATCTTTACATATGCCTCGCCTGTATGGGCAAGTGCAAAACATAACGAAATTAAAAAATTGCGAACCATCCAAAATAAATTTTTACGACTAATTACTGGAGCACCTTAGCTCATCAAGAACAGAAGTCTTTTTAGAGATCTGAACATCGACTACGTTAAGACCTACCGCAACAATCTGAACTAAAATTTCTACCAAAAAACCCTCCATAACCACGTTGCTGATTTTTCTGAAGTGCTAAACTATGTAATCATCGACGATGACTACTTTGCTCGACCCTTCACTGCTCATATTTTTAATATGTTAAGTCAAAATAGCAAAATCTACTCATCCCACGTCGGACTTTGGACGCTTTCTCCGCAGAAGTTCCTGATATGCTTCTTAGTCACTTCATATTTTCCCAAGCGTCGAGCATCAACAGAATTCCGAATGGATACAGCATCGATCTACAGATCCGCAGATCGTCAGTTCGATATTCAGTGGTTAAAGACTTTTGGAAATGCTGGTCTTTTCAACTTCTACTGTTTTCTCGAACTTAACTACATTATTACAACGTTTTGAAACTGAATCTGAATTTTTCCTGCCACTTGGATTATTGTTATTAAATTTTAAATAGACTACTCAGCATTCTTCTGTTATCTATGACACCGTCTACTAGAACTTATCTATATTCATCCTAGACACTATTATGTACCTCTGAAATTTCCTCCAACACCATATCAGTAGATTCTTCACTTCCCCATGCCATGTTTTGGGCCATTTTCTTTCTTTTGAATGATGATCTCCCATCTTGGGATCTACTCATGTAAACCTCATCACCATGCCCATCGTGGTGTGTGTGTGTGATTATGGCAAAGCCTCGAGGGCTATCTGCCTAAGAGGAGGGATGCCTTCGTGGAGGACTTTCTAAGGGAAACTGGCTCCCATGCCCATCGTGGAAACATCTCAGGTTGCACGGAAGTACTGCTACCGCAGTAGAAACTCTGCATAATCACGTTCGTATCAAAGCATCTGAGGTGCAGCGTTCTCTTAATTCTGGAATGTAGTTTGAATTTTCTTCCCATGAAAATATAAATGAATATACAACCTACATTTTCTTTGTTTAAAGTAACAGTGATGCTCTGTTTGAAATTTAGTCGTTACCCTCAAGTAAGAGGTTTGATATCTAGAATATCCATATTGATCAATGACAATATCCATATTGATTCTGATATTCTTCATGTGCTTTCGATACAGAACAATACAGCATTTTCTGGTTTTAAATGCTTTTTCCTTATATACACCGATGTGCAACTATGTTCATATATAACTGAAGATTATGTATGCCAAGTTGAGAGCTCATTGACTTCGCTAGTATTGCGGTGTTGTCTGTTTATTTTAAGACTTGAGCTGAGAGCGGAGTCGAAGAATCATCAATGTAAATGCTAAGCAGTTTGGAAGCTAGAATAGACCCTGTGGGATGCCCAAATGGATGACATATTTAGAAGAAAGTATTTCCCCACATCTTTATTTCTTAAGTAGAAATTTGCGAGTTTAGAAAAACTAATCGGGAGATGAATTCTTCTAATATGTGAATCAGGTCCTTGTGCTATAGGCTGTCGAAAGCTTTCTCGAACTCAAGAAAGCAGGCTGCAGCGGCCCGATTTCTTAATGAATGCGTCGGCAATAAATTCGATTATGTTGAGAATGGTGTCCGCCGATAACATCGCGGAGAAAACAACGCAAGGCGAAAACGTCGTGCTACAAAACATCGTGGTACAAAACGTCGTCGTCGAAAATAAAGCGGTTCAAAAACTTCGCAGCTTAAAAACAACGTCGTGGAAAATATCGTGGTAAAAAATAAAGTATCTACAAATGATCGCATGATGATAACATCGCAGACATGCTTTTTCAGGTTTTAATAATTGTAAATGGATATTCCCATAATGATTTGTGAGCGCAAGATGTAAAGAAGGATAATTTTTACTTTCACATTTTTTTAATTAACTAATAAATTTTTGCTGAAAAAGTAAGAAGGAAACTTAAGCATAGATAATTAAATGCAACTTATACTTTTCATGAAAAATTACCAGTAAAAACTTTATAAAAATGATTTATTAATGGCCTTTCTTAGTTAACTATGTCGTTTTAAAACACTATTAAGTGCTAGTTGCATTAATTTTCTATGTTTAAGTTTCCTTCTTATTTTCTCAGCAAAAATTTATTAGTTAATAAAAAGTATGAAAGTAAAAATTATCCTTCTTTCCATCTTGCGTTCACAAATCATTATGGGAATATCCATTTACAGTTATTAAAGCATGTCCTCGATGTTATCGTCATGCGATGATTAGTAGATATTTTATTTTTGACCACGATATTTTCGACGACGATGTTTTTAAACTGCGAAGTTTTTGAATCGCTTTATTTTCGACGACGATGTTTTATACCACGATATTATAGGACTGCGATGTTTTCTACCACGATGTTTTGTAGCACGACGTTTTCGCCTTGCGTTGTTTTCTCCGCGAAGTTTTCGTCCGCGATGTTTTTGCCGCGATGTTTTCGGCTGTAACCGTTGAGAATTTGGTGCGTAGTGCTATAAATCAATTTACAACCAATAAAATGAAATATAGGAATTGTTGCCTGATGTCGATGATTATCGTAATAATTTCTGAAAGATTTTTGCATGAAATTTTTTACACGTTCGCATTATAAATCATTCCTAAAGCTTTTTTTATCATAAGCATTTATGTATTAATAGAAAGAATATATTTATGCGAAGTGCAAAAAACTCATTTCTCATTTTCAAAGTTTATCAGATTTAATAAAAGGATTTTGTAACTTAAATTTATTGTATTCGGATTCACTCTATACTCAGGTTCTAAAGAATAAAATAAAATTAAGTTACATTTAAGATTTAATAAAAAGTTAAAATTTGCTAAGTTCACAGCCAAAAACTAGAGTCTGTAGAAGAAATTAGAGAAGTTTGACAGACAAGTTAAAAAAGAAGTTAAAAAAAGAAGGAATTTTAAACAAAACCAATATTTGAAAAGAAAATAATGAAATGCACTTTCAAGAAGACTGCAGGAAAAACATAGAAAATAAATCAACGCGTAAACAGATGTTACCTTTAATAATGGATAATACTTCAGATTACATTTTATTTACTATATTAAATACTTAAAAAGCGGAATTGGATATTTGTAATATTTTATCAAAAAAGAAAAAAAATCAAGACTATTTTGAACTTCGGTTTCATTTTGAAAATTTGGGTATTTTCATGTTTTACACATTTCCTTTTACAGCCTTGAAGTGGTTACGGGGCACCAGTGAAGTACATTATGAAATGGACGAAATGAGAGCAGAATTTGAGGAGATGAAAACTGTTCCAAAAGTGAGATGCTACCTTAAGTCTCTTCATTTTTAAATAAAATTTTGCTAATACAATGAAAAGTTTCGAAAAAGACATCCATTTTTAAATATTTTCTTTTCTTTTTTTTTTTTTTTTTTCTTTTTTTTTTTTTTTTAGGTGACACTTAAGGAAATTGTGTACAATTCGGTATTGCGCAAACCTCTCATCATTTCTGTTGTGATCATGTTATCACAGCAGCTCTCTGGAATCAACGCGGTATGTCCATTTCATTTGTTAAAAACTGTGTAAGATAAATCATTGCCTGTTAGGATTAAATTCATTCAAAAGCTTAAGCAAACTAGTGCTGAAAATTTTTATACATTCTAATGTATATCTGTAAAGTGAAATTTTTGAAAGACAATTTATGTCTTTAATAGACAGCAAAATAAGACTCAGTAGGGGGAAAAGACATTCCTTCTGGTATGCGAAAATTCATGTATTCAAGACTAAGAGACCAATGGAAATTGAACCGTCAGATAGTGTAATCAAAGAAAGGTTTCACCTTTGATTATGTTAAACTACACTTCCCAGGTAGTTGTTTAATTAAGGCAAAGTGCTCGAATGCTATCTGCTTAGGCGCGGGGTTGTGTCTTTATGGAAGACTAGCTAATGGAAACTCGCTTGTATTCTCATTACACATGGGGGCAGTCATGAAAGCACCTATGCAACCAGTCTGTTAGCTGAGATTTTAAGCCGATCGGACTATCAGCGTTCAAAGATCCTAACCAATCTATCACTGGTGAGCCTCCAATGCCCAGATATTATTTGAATATGACTTCTTATTTTATCTATTCCTTACTTCTTTCGTCTTTTAACGCAGAAATCGTGTTTGGAAGATGACAAAGAGAAAAAGATACTAAGAGAAATATTTTTTGTTGAAAATTTCTGTTCATTTGAGATATTTAAGAAGAAATTTGTTTGACTTTTAGTAAAAAATGACTATTAAATATATCAAAAAGAAATTCCTGAGAATATTTAGGCTTTTATTTTTAATTTTGTAAGCGGATATGACTAAATATATTAACATAAGGTAGAATTGAACAAAAAATAATGAAATAAAAGGAAAATTCATCATCGTGAATAATGCGATAAAATATGGGCTTGTATCCTACTAAATGTTTTCATGAATATAGTTTTGGCCAAAAGTAATGTAGTTTGAAACTCGAGATAAATGGTGCCGGTCGAAAAATAACAAAACAAAACAGAACAACAACAAAATAAATCCATAAAAATAAAATAAATAAATAAAAATATATAAAAAAATTTAAAAACAGCTATTGCAGGTTCATCATAGGAGAAAATAATCGATTTAGTAATGACCGTGATAATATAATGTATCAAATCCGGTTGATGGAACTCAATTTACTGCGAATGTTGTATTTCATTTCGCATATGAAATGCAGAACAGCCTTATTGCTGAACTTTAGATTTTCGGATTTCTTCATAAGTAGTATAAATATGGATCAAATTTCTTTCCTTACAAAGGCATATCTTTATTTTCCGGAAAGGTAAGCTTAGTGGGCTTTATCATGATCCAATGATCCAATAATCCAGTCCAAGGCAACACGTTAAGCGACCATTGTAGATCCTATCCAATTTTTACCAAAGTCCATATAACGAATGCTTATCTTCTGCACAGTTTTATCAGCAAAATGCAATGGAGTGATTGAAGTCTGAGGCACTTTATATGCGATATGAGTCTGACGATATTTTAAATACTTGCAACCAAACAATTATGAAGTATTGCAAATTTTGTGAAATGTCTTAAAAGACTGGACATGTCCTGCTGGAACTGATGACAAACGTAGTTTGAGATAAGGCATGCTTTTTGTCTTGTTCTTAAAAAGGTTGTATAGTTCCTCACTCCTTTTATCTAAGACGAACGTCGAGGAACCTAATGAAGGTTGTAGCGACTTATCACTAATTTCAAACAACTAAAGACGTAGACTCGGAGTTAAAATACCCTTTTATTCACTCACATAAGAATAACATTCGGCCCCTTCTCGAGCTTACAGGAAGCCTCTACTCGAGCTTTAACTCAGAATAAGAAATAAGAAACTAAACTATAATTAACTAAAGAAGACTCAGCCTTAGCTAAACATAATTATCTAACGTAGTTGGCCCTTTAATTTAAACTAGCCGGCGAATACCAAAAGGCATGTAAGAATAGAATACGGCCGAGCGTAACAGCTTTAAGAGTGACTTAGCCCGAAGGCAAACATATGCTACTAAAGATTCTTAGTACTCTCTATCGACGTTAGTTGAACCTTCCTTAAATACTTCTTCAACCTCATATGCATTCAACGTGATTCTAAAAACTCATTATGGTAGAGAATTTTAAGTGGAAACAAGAATTTATAGTAAAGGGTTTTGGAATTAAAATAACTATTATAAAATTAAAATATACCTTATAAGGTAAATAATAAACATAACTTTGTATAATGCAACATTGGAACGTTTATGTGCTGCCGTTTAAGACCATCGACCTCGGCTGTTGATAAAAACTATGTTGCTTCTTCATAGATCTGTTCACTTGCACAATTGTCTTACTCTTCTTCAGTTACTCGACAATCCATGATGGGCACTGACCTTCCTTAGAATTTCATACCAGGCTATTCTACTCTTGGCCTTAACAGTTAATAACCTTTTAAGTTAGACAAATCTCTCATCAGACAGTCTAGCCATTAGAATTTCGCTCTCCCTGTCTTTAGAGTGACTATTGACATGTACGTGAATAAATTTTGTTCGCACATGAATATATAAAGTTCTGTTTTTGGGCAAGCTGATTATGTGACTAGGCCATTTAATCTTCCGGTGCTGATAAAATTTATGATGTCTGGATACCCGTGCGTCCTGCAGCTGTCTTCTCTGGTTCTTCTCGATATTCCATCTATTTGAATACCTCCAACAGAGCTTCTCAAAATCTTTCAAACACTGCGAGTATTTCTTTATTGTTTTCAGTCGATGACCAGGTTCCAGTTCTATATGTCAAAACAGGTTAAATTAAACATTTGTTAAATTGTCGGTTTAGTTGTTCTTTTGATAAAGTTTGATTTCAGATACTGCTTTAAACCAAAAAAGTATCAGTCACAAATTTAAGGAGTGATATTTTTTCTATATTCATTACAGAGCCAAAATATGTGAAATGCTCCGTAGCTTCAAATGTATATCAGTTTCTAAGAAAGAATGATTAACTTTTGACTTAGTGCATAACATATATTTAGTTTTTGTTTGGTTGATTTTAAGATGTATTTTAGCTGCTTCAGCTTCCAGTAAGAGAAATGCCAGTTTGAGTGCTTCAGGAGTTCTAGCAACGATGTCAATATCCTCCGTAAATAATAAGACTTGAACTAATTTGTTAAAAATACCTCTCCTAGTATATGTTTTTGAGTCATTAAGGATTTTTGAAGAGCTAAATTAAAGGGCAAACCAAAGCATCCCTCTATCTCAAACCATTTGTAAAAAGAACAGATCCGAAAAATTATTCTTCATCTTTACTCTTAGTTTGGTCTGCGTTAAGGTAATGGAAGGAAGTTTAACAAGCTTTTCCGTGATGTTAAATTATAAACAGTTTTAAAATATATAATAAATTATGAACGTGAGTGATCAATTCTCTGGTGTTTTCCATTATTTTGCCTTATTCTGAAGATCTGCTTGCTCATCAGTGGACCCTTCTTTACGGAAGCCGTATTGACAGTCACAACTTATGTCATCTTTATAAACAATTGATTTATTACGAAGAATGTTAGAAAATAGTTTATAAAATGTGCAGAGTAAACTAATATATCAATAATTTGAGCATTTTAAGATAGTTTATTTTATGATTAAGACAAATGGTACTATGTCTCCGATCTTCTGGTATTACTTCCTTGTTCCAAATAAGTTCTATTAAATTGTCCATTTTCTTTACAGCCTTCGGTCCAGGATTTTTAATAAATTCAGATGATATTGAATCACGATATGGAAATCTGTAATTTTTCAATTTACATATTGCTTCATAAATTTCCATCAAAGAGGGTTGACTCTTTATAAGACGGTGTAGTCAACCCAAGCCACCGTTGCTATAGTTAAACTCTTCACAATATGATTTATCATTTTTGAGTAATGTCAAGAACTAGTGACTTCGTCGCACCGGAAATCTCCTGCTGATCATTTATTATTAACCTATCTTTATTTCTGCAAGCTACATGTCTATTACTGTTCAAGAACTTTTGCAATAATAGGTGACCATCCTTCGTGCAGCATCTATCTGGCTTCAAATGATTTTCTTTTCTTTGTAGCAGGAAAGGTCTTGTCTCTCCAGCTTCCGGACTGAAGAGGAGGCCAGAGAAGCTACGAAATAATATCTCAGCGGCGCAAAATTCTATGCTTTATGAGGAGAAGCCTTGAACTTGTCACGTAGTATTTAGAAAACTGCTTCTATCATTATAGCGACGAGTAAAAAAATAAGATATTCATCATAGAACATACTGTATAATACGGTACCCTACTCTTTTCTTCTTGGAAAAGCTCTCTTTTGTATTGTTTCTCCGACATAATACTCAAGAGAATCCCCAAAAGCATTCAAGAGATACCTAGTTAACTGCTTATTCGGCTTCCAAAAGCGTGCAATAAACATAGAATGAAGCACTGATGGGCTTTCCAAGACGTGTTAGTTGTACAATCATGTACATTTGTGCCTAGAAACTCAAAGCAAAGGTATCTGGAGATGCTTTTTTAGGAACCAGAATAGTTATTTTATGCAGGGCCTATTGTATGTGCAAATTCTTGATTTCATTCAGTGCGGTCATTAATCAAGACTCGAAATATTTGCAACTTCCTTTTTCAATAGGCTCTAAAATTCTTACTTTGAACATATTGTATTTAAACTTTGATTCTGACGTTTCATTTTTCATATTGGCTATAAAATGGAAGAAGTTTTACGCAGTCTCTGGAGGTACAGTAATCCTAATTGCAATATGGGATTTATATTATTTAATATTAAAAGCTATTTTCAATATTTATTAAAATGGGAAAACAAAAACTTAGTTCATATTTTTGACGTGTTTATCATGTATTCAGTATGGACTTTAAAAATTATAATCACACTTTAAAAAGAAATTAATATTTGGCTACTTTATACCAGTCTTGGCAAATTATACTGTATTGGTATTGCATTTGAAGATTTATTTTTTCTGTCTTTTTTATAAAAACAGTTTAAATCAAAATCTGAATTCGAATTTGTATAAAATTGTCACTTTGTTAACTGGCATCAAAATTTTTTTGATATTTGTTATAAAAGTTTAACATTTTAAAGGTGCCTAAATGCTAAGCACTATTATTACAATTTTAAACATTTAAAGTAAAATTTATTATTCACTCTATTCAGTTTTTAAACGTTAAACAACGTTGAGTTACTGAATTGTGCTCTTAATCTGTGAGTGTTTTATTAAAGTATTAATTGCATTAAATTACAATTATTGAATCTTCGCACCTTTCCTGTCGTTTTAAACTCTTTGTTTATAGTATTTAACAGAAAAGCTACCAATCCGAGATGATGGCAGATTTTCTTCTTTGACTGGGGCCCACCAATGGCCGGGTAAATAAGATCATCGAATAGGGGTAGTTCAACTCGGGTTTGAACACCGGCTAATGAGCAGTTGTGAAATGGGGGGGGGAGGTACCTATCTCATTTTAGCTTTTTGGAGCCCAATCCGGATATGATGATATGATTCAATGGACCCTTCGCAAATGCAACTTGTGCCACTCCATAAATACATTTGAGCGACGGCTCTGGTTGCATAGGCATTTTTATGATTTTCTCTTGTGTAACGTGAATACGAACCATTTGCTTTTAGAAAGACCTTCACGAAAGTATTCTTTTGCTCAGTCAGATAGCACTCAAGTGGTTTGCCGTAATTCATTGAAGGAAACAATGTTCCTTAAACAAAATCATCAATTGGTATGATATTAAACAAGAATAATGTAATAAAAATTTGATCGCTCTTAATAAATAACATAATATGCGAAGTAATTGAGAATTTTAATTCAAAAATTTTATTACAGTACACTTAAGTAATGAATTCCAGTCTGTCCCTGCAATTAACAAAATTCTTTTTACACCTACAGGTTATCTTTTATTCCACGGAAATTTTTATGAATGCTGGTCTGCCAAAAGAAACGGCTGTCTATGCCACTTTGGGAATGGGTACTATCAATGTCTTGATGACCATTGTATCCATGGTTCTAGTGGAAAAAGCAGGACGCAGGACACTGCACATGTTTGGATTAGCTGGCATGATGATCATCAGTCTCTTGCTCACAATATGTCTAGCTTTGACAGTAAGTAAATTTGATGATTAGAATTTTGATCATGGGCAATTTTATTTAGTATTTTCATGCAGTGTTTTAATAAACAAAGTGAAGCACACATTTATGTAGTTTTGTTGAAATATGCAACACCTTTATACTGAATACTTATGCATATTACTATCTTGTATTTGTGTTGAAACAATAGATTTAGCCATAATCCTCAAGTTAATTCAAAGACATGAAGATTCTTCTGACCTGGGATCATATTCCCGATGAAAGAGGCTGCTTGCATGAAACATTTCGCGATTTTCCCCATCTGCAACATGAATAGGAAGAAGTTTCCCTTAAAATACTTGTCACGAAGGCGACCTGACCCTTAATATAAGCATCATCATGTAAGAACACAGACCAGATCCTCCTAGCCGGCACTGGACGGCCATATGACCAAAAAGTGGGACTGGCCAGTATAACAACAAACGAAGAGCCAGCGATCTGGCCTTGACTCTTAAGCATATAACCCTGTATGTTTTTCCGTAATCCAAATAATCTAATCCACTTATCTTAGTTGACATTATCCTGGATTTCTCGCGCAAGAGTGTATTCTGTTCTTCGTATCAACGGAGCTTAAACTGTTAATCTATGTTGGTATCACTCGTTACTTCATTGAAGAATAGAATGATGGGATCAATTCCATCCAAAAAGGCCATTAAAGAATTCTTTCATATTCTGGAAAAGCCATTAATGTCCTGCGCTGAGACTTCTAAGGTATCGAAATTGTCAAGAAGAAAGGCCAGGATTACAAAAATTTGTGACAAATTTCGGGAAGAAAGGTTCTTTGCTAGAAGAGCTGAGGGTAACTTGTATAAGATAATGTTGGAAATTCCTAGAATATTGTTTAAAACTTTTCCACTTATTTATTATCTTTGCGCAATGTTATCTAAACTTTATGTGCCAGAAGCTGGGCGAGACCCATACATTTCTGGAAAGGATTGTATTACTCTAGATGGTGTATGAAATTCAATCATGGTATAGGTATAATTCCGAATTCAAATCTTCAGTTCATTTTTTTGATAAAGTAATAATATGTACTATATTTATATTCCTTGCTCCTATTTCTGTTAAAAAAAACCTGATGTGTCACCACTGGAAGATTTTGCTTCTGAAGTACATAGTGTTTTCTAAATTCATACATTCTGAATGAGCTATGGAGCAGCGGAAGAAGGATGGAACAAAGTTAACTTGCAAAGTACTAGGTGGGATCTCTTACGCTGAATGAGAATTAATGTTTTTATTTAAAATGTTAATTGTCTGTATCCCAGACGGTATAGTGGTTAGGAGAGCCTACTACGAAGTAATCTCGTATGGGTTAGTGGAAGGGGAGCGGGTGCTCTCCCTCAAAATTGGGGGTGGAAAATAGAAGTCCAACCTCTCTTCGGAGTAGGCTCTGGAAACCATTGTTCCATGCAATATGGACAAGACAACAACAATTTGTCATCTTAAGCGATAAGTTAACAGTCTTTGTAATATAGATAATACGAAGATTACAAATATTATTAAATATATTCTGAATTAAAGTAAACTTACTCGAAAAGCATCCTAATTAAAATAATTTTTTTTTCATTTAAAATTACTGTTTTCCTAGTAATTTATTGTGAAATTTTCTGTTATCAGATCCTAGATGTTATAAGATATGTATCCTTTAAGTAATTATATGTAATATTCAAGTATGTAAGTGGCTGTACTTTTTTAATACTGACTAACTGATGCAATTAAAATATGAATGAATACTATAGTTTGTCTTTCTATTACAGCCGAAAGCACCATGGTTATCTTACGTCAGTATTATTTGCATCATTGGATTTATAATAATGTTTGCTAGCGGTCCAGGTAATATACATTTTAAAGCATTTAATTCGATATAAGAAACTTGAATGTTTAGTTATATAAAAGTTAATGATGCTGGTTAATAAGAATGGCCGGAAATCCTTTTAAGTACAATTGAGTTCTATGGAAATAATTTGCATTTACGGTAATGCTTAGCAGTGAAATTTTCTTTATGATTAAATGCGATTATTCTATCCGTTGATAATGTTAAAAATTTTGTATAATGTTACATGAAAAATCTGAAGAAACAAAGCTGTGTCTGATAAATAAAATTACAGGGAAAGGTCTTTTTAACATTGAGTAAATGGCTATCTTCCTAAATTGGCGAGATATTGCCAAGCTGGCGGTGGTTTTTGGTGACTAATTTTTAACTCCAAATTTGGCGAGAAATCACCCAAAATCTTCAAACTTGGTGACCATTTGGCGACAACTATAATTGATACTATAACTGAATAACTAATCGATCACTATGTGTAACTGTAACCATATCCGGCTCTTATATGTAACTTTAACCGTATATGCCTTCTAGTAATTTCGAGAAAATGAAGGTACTAGAAATTTCTAGGCTGCCGAGGGGAAAACTATATAAGACCCGAGACAACATCCGCTTCTCAGTTGTTTAGTACAACGTTAGTTTTGGAGTATTGATAGAGCTCCGTGTGAACATCGCTCTTTAGATGCGCTTTGCATTGCGTTGTGTTTAACGTTCTTGGTATTTTGAAGTGTGACTACTGATTGTGTTCTGTGATACTGAGAAGAGCTGTACGAGTATTTTTGCGGAACGTTTTAGAAATGTGAACTGTCACTTTTGATAAAGTAAATTTTATGAAACTAGTATCGATTCTGTGTGCATTCAATCCATTACGAAACCATATAAGCGCAATAATATGTTAACAATCATTGGAAATTGTATATCGGAGGATTAAACTGATAGAATAGTTCATATGAAAATTATTGCTTTCTATACTAGACAAGAGAGCCAATGGCCAATAGACATGTAGCATATTATAGACTGGCCTCCCATTGGATGCATATTTATATTTATACGAGAGAGAATGTTTTGCGTGACTTCTTAATTTTCTTTTCAGGATCCATTCCTTGGTTTCTTGTAGCTGAACTTTTTGGGCAAGGAGCTAGACCTATAGCAACAAGTATAGCAGTAGCTGTTAATTGGATGGCGAATTTTATAGTCAGTTTATCGTTCCTTCCAATTACGGTGAGTTTAAGATATTTTTTAAATAATGGACATTTTTAAAACCATGAGTAATTGAAACTGAAAACTGCATTACAGAATTATCGTAACGATTCAAGAGAGGGTTTTGAGAATTTTCAACGTTGCACATGAACTTCGTTACCCATGTCCAAATTTACCAGGACAATTCGAGAGATAGTTTCAAGAATTGTTAGTGATGTGCGTGAGCTTCGTTATCTAATCCAAAATTATTGGGAAGATTAGAGAGATAGTTTCGAGAACTTTTAATGATGCGCCTAAACTTTCTATCTGTATCCAAAATTATCCGGACGATTCCAGAGATAGTTTCGAGAATTTTCAATGACGCGCAGTGTACTGATTACTAAAACATTCTGGCAGATTCCGCTGAATGCCACGCTGATATATTGTATTAGTCTGGGTCGCTATGACAGATGCTGATTATTCAAATACCACTGAACTTGCAATCATATTTTTTTTAGGGAGGGAATTGTTCTGTACTAGATATCAGTATAGGTATTTATTCCAAAGTTTTATGAAAAAAGTGTTTAACAAATGTTTAGGTTAGGATTCAAAGATTCGAATGATATCATTATCTTGGTTCTTATGTTAATTCTGTGGAGAACAAAATTACTTTTTAAGCAAAAGCTTAAACAAATTAATGGCTTATTTTTAAATGAACATTCGTTTTCGAATAACAGTTTCTCTGCAGCTCGCGTTGACGTGTATTATTTAATTTATCCTTTCTAAAAGACTGCTCATGAGTTAAAAAAGAAAACTCAATTTTCTTTTATATAATGATTTGTATTTTACTCAAAGTTGCCCAGTACAAGAGTTACAATTTTTCATTTTCTTGGGACTTTTCTGAACAGGAAACAGTAGATATAAAATTTATTTATTCATATTTACATGCATTCATATTAATCACATTTTCATTAATTTACTTCAGAAGTTTCTTTATATTCAAAACCTGTCATTATTTTTGAAACGATATAAATTTGGACTTGCGGATCTATCATGCGGCTCCCATCATCTTGAAGTTTGGCCATCCCTGATATATAGGATAGGGATTAGTCACTCTGACTGCTGTACCGAAAGGCCCGTGTTTAAATCCTGAAAGAAGGCACGGATGTTTGTAAATGTTTAGTGTTTGTACGGCATGGGACACTCTAAATATGAGACGAGCCCTAAGTTCTTTCGGGAGGTCGATGGTAGAGGAAGAAGGGTGGAGGACACTCGGACCCGTCCTCCCGGTGTGCTCCTTCTCAAAATTGGAGGTGGAATTCTGCTAAAATCGGGCTGTCACCTCTATGGTGCTCAAGGCTCTTGCCAGTGATAAGCGCATTTGACTCCTTGCCACCGTGAATGTTGTGGGCTTGGGCTGACCTTTGTCAGACAAGTGAGATTGGCAACATGATGGCATATAAACATTCATCTGTCGGTCAAAATGAAAAATTCCTTCTTTTTTTTGGGGGGGGGGGGCGAAAGACGTGCCTGTATATATATTATTCGCTAACAATATTTTAAATTCATATTTCAATTGTGATCATTCCTAGCAATATTACTGATTCTGTAAGACTTCTATATTTACCACCAGTCAGCTATTATGTGTAATTCTGCATATAAGAGCAGTCAGCAGTCTTTAGTGTTTTTATTCCATGGTGCCAATTCAAACAAACAAAGCAAACTTGTTTTAATAGACTAACTTCTTTTTTTTTACTTTTACATGTGGATATTGTTATTAAAATTTCAAATCCGAAATTTTTTTTAGTCCAGAAAAATAAAACCTGAAATATTGAGACTGTAAATATCTTTCTGATCGAGCGAATGGAGAACAGTTTCGTATTTTTCAGCATAAATGTTTGACATAAGAAGCGCACGTTTTGATCCAGTCTTTTAAACTGATGGCTGTCGTGAACTTGTGTGAGATTTCATTGATGAATAACTAACTAATAAATAGTAATACTTAAATTCATAAATAATTTAAAACGTCAATAAAATATTTACATATTAAATGTTATAAGCTATATCAAAATGCATACCATGTAATAAATATAAATCAATAGGATATAAATTTCAGAAGATACATAATTGCTATCCATTTGAGGTGAAATAAAACATTTCACCTCAAAACAGCTCATCAGACACCTCAAACTCAGTAGTATTTCACATTAACTACAATATTATAAAAAAACTAATAAGAGTCTTAAATACTTGTAACTAAAGAGGTTATTACATCTGGCTACAGTCCTTGCTAGACGGGTCTTTTCTGAGATTCTGGTGGCACTCGTTTAAACGGGAGGATTCCTAGAAATACGGAAACGAACCTCACCGAAAATGTCTCGGCTGGAGTTTTGTCCCGGGTAGAGATAAACCAATCAGACGAAAGTTCTGCTTCTGAAGGCTCAAGTGATCCCAATCTGAGCGATAATCGATTACTGTTTGGCATTCAAGTCTTTGTAGTAAGTGAAAATGGTAACCTAGCTACTTGGGTTTCTTGGAAAAATGTGCGGGTTTTGAGAATTGTCCCTTTCGACGTCAAGTCCCGCGTAGCCAAAACATAATGTGATTAGGGCCTAAAAAGTAACTGTTCAGTACGATATCAGTACGACTTCTTAATAAAAATTTCGCTTCCTAATTTATATTTGAAAATGTAATGTATAAATTTGATGAAGATAGTAGATTAGATACGTTGATTTAAATATGCTCGAATTTTTAATTTCAGGAAATGATTGGAGAATACACTTTCCTTATCTTCACAGCACTTTTGGCGATGTTTTGGCTGTTCACGTATAACAAAGTTCCTGAAACAAAAGGCAGGACAGTAGAAGAAATTGCTGCCATTTTCCGAGAAAAAACTTCTACCTAATAACAAAAACGTAGCCTGCTGGAAAGTCACTATGAAGTGGAATTCTACAACAAAAATCCAGTCCTGCTGGAAAATTGCTATTACGTGGAATTATATAATCGATACATTTCTGAAATCCAGACATTATTTCATTCTCTGTGAGAAAAATGGCTAAGGAACAATTCATTTGAGATATTAATGAATTGTTTTATTTGTTGTATATATACATACATGAAGATATATACTATGCACATATTTACAGAACTGAGTATATATATTATATATTTTTAGCTCATATTATCTTGAAAGAATTTTTCCATTTGTATTTTATGTGTATGTAACCAGTTTCATTCATACTTTATTGTACATAATTATATTTCATCAAATTTAAATAAAAAGAATTTTTGTACAAATTTTCTTTAGTTTCATTCACTGAAATACGCACTACTTCTAAAACCACAGACAGAAGATGCCTCTCACTTTATGTAAACATATAGCAAAATAAAATCTACCAGTCAAAATATAGGTATTTCATTACCCAAGCCTGAAAATAAACTAAGATTTTTTCCGAAAAAATCCAAGCCGTTCTCTTTTGAGACCTGAAATAAGATTTCACTTAAAAGTCAATGTAGCGAAATCATTCGTGTATCTCAAATGATTATTAAGTAAATTATCCCGTCACCAGTTTAGTCATTAAAAGCCATTAAAAAGGAAAACTCTTTAAACAAATTAGACAGATGGATTGGATAATTCAATTATGGCAAAGCACACCGGGAATCGAACTTCATACCGAACTACCAGTGTTCAGCGTCTTTACCGCTCGGCCGCTGGTGGACTCAAAATTAGACAGATGAAACCGGTAAAAAAGAAATCGTAGTAATTACATTAACTGAGGCAGGTGTTCACACAAATGCAACAATTTTACTGCCAAGGTATACCACAATTGTTTGTAATCAATCATTCATTTTCAATAATGTACTCACGTATTTGAATTAGTGTTGTCTTAAGGGTTCTCTAGATCATGGTGGACGTGGTGCTATACTAATTAACCGTATGGTAGAGGCATAGTGCCCACGTCCCCCGTTTCTTATCCTTATCTTGTATGTCCAACAGCGATCTAGCGGTAAGATGGCTACATACTGCTAATTCGATTTGAGATGGTTTCCTGTAGTCCCATAAGCGATGCGTGGCGTAAGTACGCCCTGTGGAGGTGGTCATCTCAAGACGGTTAGTGTGAAGGAGCGACACCAGTTCTGCCAATGGCGATGTGTTGGTGCTTCCCACGCTTAGTCCTGTCCTGACCTGTCCTGTAGTCCCATAAGAACAGGCTGGTAGCATGGGCATTTTTCTCATTCTCCCCATGTGTAACACGGATTGGATTACTTTATTATGACAAAGACACTAAGGCTATGTGTCTAAGAAGAAGAATGCTTCAATGGAGGGGTTTCTAAGAGAAACGTGAGATGCTCACGCAGCCAGTCCCATTTCCAAGGATCATAATCAGCATGCATAACATGGATGGTAAGCTAGTTTCTTTTAGGCATCCCACCGGGAAGATACCCTTTCCTTTATGCAGAGATCCCTCACATAATTTAGGTTAAAATATTAAGCCGAATAATTGTTATCGAAGCTAGTCCCGCCAAATTTACTAATATAACACTGATTCTTGTTTGACTTTTCCAATAATCCCATACATGCTTTATCTTTTTTAGCGCTTATTCTTTCGTCCTATGCAAAACGACACTTACGAGAAATGTTCATACCCATAGTGCTGATGTTTATTTTTTCGCAAATAACTAACAAATGCACACAAAGCACAGTAATTAAAGTCTAGTACGTAGTATTCTCATGCTTACTGAAAAAAATGACATAAAATATTTTCATTGTCTAACGCCCACTATTCTTTACTTTCAAAATGGGTAATCGAAAATATTCCACCTTGTATTAATTTAATAAGTTAAAAAAGATAAAATGTTTATAATAAAAAGACCCCTCCCCCCCCCCCCCCCCCCAAAAAAAAAAGAAGAAGAAGAAGAAATGGAAACCATCTTATTAAGAAAGTTGAGCACTGATATGATTAACTGAGGAGAAAGGAAAAATAAAACCATTTACCAAAGTGTTATCTGTTAATAAAAATAATTTGAATTTAATAAAAAGTGTTATCTGTTAATATAAATAATTTGAATTTAATAAAAAGTGTTATCTGTTAATATAAATAATTTGAATTTAATAAAAAGTGTTATCTGTTAATATAAATAATTTGAAGACTGCTGATGCAGGGGATTGGAAATACTGGTACACGAGGCTTTAAATTTCTCTAGTTCACTTAAAATTTGTCTAGTTTTACCTTTTATGTGTGTTGGCAAATATTCTCCTTTAGAAATGGATTCAGATGTACAAAGTTTTTCCTGCAAATGAAAACAGTGACCCACTGGAAAAGGGCAGCAGATGATGAGAGGAAATCCCATCTGAAATATGCGAGAGCTCTTAGTCAACAGCTCAAGCGAAGCAGGACAGTTTGAGAGGAGAACAGCCATAATTTTAAAATTATAAAATCTCAAATTCGTATGATGTAAAATATTTGTTTTTTGTAGACTAAATTTTAAAAAATGACATATCTTCCAACAGAGGCGCTTTCAAGTGTTCACTCCCCAAGAACATAGGTCTAGAATTGTCCAGTTTGAGCGCTCGGGAAAAATCTGCTAAACCAATCACAAATTTCTACATAATTTTATTTGAATTCTTTACTATTTCATACACTTATACACTTTTTGCCATCCATTTTCTTCAATATGAATTGCGTAGTTACATTCCTCTATAATCGAATACCAATACATTTAACTGCAACATGTGACGATAACGGTGAGAATATAACTAATACAATCTTAGAAAAGAGTAATACATAGAATGAATTTACGTATTAATATAGAATATATTTTTTTCAATCCATCACGTTATTGTGCCTACTTATTTGTTCATTATATAGAAATGTCTCTAATATATGATGAGTGATATTGCATTAAAAACTCGACAGTATAGTATTAAAAGAAAGCGACAAGTTATCACAAGAGATCCGAGTTATTATTTAAAGTTAAAAACTAATTTATCCTAATGGTGTCTTTTAAAATCGAAATGGAGTTTCAACTGATTCAAAATTTAAGAAGCATTACCTTCTCATCTGCCTGTTAGTGTTCCCAGACAATTGAAATAATTCATTATCTGTGAAGGTTTCAGCTTCTGAAATGGTTTAAAGTCTTCCTGTTTTCATTGAATATGAATGTTATGAAACAAAAGCCATCACATGGAAAAAATGAAAATGCGTAAAAATATGCGTAAAAAATGAAAAGAAATTACCATGTATGGTTTTTCACAGAAATAAATAAATTTAGTTCAGTCTTTAAAATGGTTAAGAAACAAACAGGAACTTGAATGAAGCAATAAGATTTTACTTAGTTTTTTTTTTTTTTTTTTTTTTTTTTTTTTTTTGGTGTGTGTGTGTGTGTGTGTGTTAAGAATCATGAGAATTTCATACTTTAAATGAGCAGAAAACTGCATATCAGATAACTCCAACCTTTTAGTTGTATTCTATTATATTATATTATATTATATTAAAGTTAACAAAATTTGTTTTGAATTTTGTTTCATAAAGCCTTGTTAGAAAGTTATTTTAAGAGGAAACTGTTAAACAGCATTTAGTGGTGAACAGTGATGAACGCGACAAAATTATGAGAGTCTCTGTTAGTCTTACATTCACAGTAATAATCTTTAAAATTCATTAAATTTTACGTAATTATTTGAAAATTATGTACTTCTGTTGTGTCAACGTTTAACAAAATACAGCATAGCAGATGAGAAAATGTTGCATAGTACTGTTCGTAGAATGCTTTTCTTCTGTTATTTTACACTTTTCTAAGTTTGTTAAAATTCTGTACGATAATATTTGTTTGTACTTTAATTTAATAATAGTTTCTTTGTATTTACGATAATTTTTGTAAATTAATTTGCTAATTAATTAAGTAATTAGTTTGTACTTTTTAATTCTGCACGATGATATTTTGTATTTGCTTCGCAATATGCAATATTTCACGCGCCTAACATAAAACAGAAAAGTTAAGCCGATGTGAAGTATATTTTATGGCTGTGTTTTGAGAAACAGTTATCTCATTTTCACTCTGAAACATACAACACCACAAGCTACAGGTAAATGGGAAAGTGTTAAATATATGAAATTCTACCCAAATTCAATAATTATGTATAATATATATAAGATAAAAAATATGAAAACAAACTTCTAAATTTAATTCACTATAACCTCTTTTATTTTTTATTTCATTTGGGAACTTCATCTATCTGTCCTAAAAATAGCGCTGTAAGTCTAAACTGCGTCATTCAAATTAATCATGCGATCTTACGTAATCCTTAACGCAGATGCCTCTTGACCAATCACCAAATTGCAAACCAAAACTTTTCTCTTCGCGTACTTCCATCTTGCCCAACTACGTACTTCAGCTTTGCTCTTTACTGTGCTAATTACCCTATTTTAGTTCAGGCGCCACTGTAGAGACATTTGATATATTTTTGAAAGCAGTCAAGATGAAAAATGAGCAATCGTCTTTGCCGGGAATCGAACCACGGACCTCTGGAATACTGGCCCAGCGTGCAGAACACTACACCACGAAGGCACGCTAGGAAAGTGGGAGAAATACCGATATTAAACGATATCGATATTATTTATATTTGATACGATATCGATAATATCGATATTAAACGCATCTCTATTTTCATCTTTGTAAATAAGTATTTCCCAAAGAGTTTTGAACTCCCACTTAACAAACAAACTTTCAGATGATTATATTACGTTCCAGATTTATCAAGTTTATTATCTTATAAATATGGTTTAACCTCAAAGATATGCTTTTTTGAAGATCTATTTACTATTTACTTCAATTATTCAAGAAAGTCGTCATTTTCAGCATTTTCAATATATCTTCTCAATTTGTATGTATGCTAAGAAAATACAATTTAAAATTTAATTTATGCACAAAAGTATATTTCACTAATTTTTAATGTCTTATTTCAGAAATTAAAGCTGTGCCGTAGTATCTTTCTAAAACTGAATTTATCAGTGTGAAGGATGCTGTAGCATAAAAATGTAATGAATATAACAAAACTATGTTCATGGATGTAATAGAAGTACGTTTGAGATTTTTTTATCATGTTTAAAATAATAAAACTTTATATGAGGTTATAAAGCATCATCCTTAACCAATCATTTTAATTTTTGTGAGGTGTATTGACAGTTGATTAAATTTCCTTACTTTTGAATGTTTACATAAAATTTCTTTCGAAACTTTCCAATGTAAGATTCGAGAGCTAAGAATTTTAACGCGGTTCCTAACAGTCAGTAATAATTGTTCTGATACTGTTTCTGTGCAACGTTGATATGGACTAAGCTAATTCCCGTGATACATGTATTCCTATACATATATCAATATACACGAATTTCGAGCTGTATGCATCGCTACACAAAGTCAGACCTCTTGAATAGCATATAACTCTTTTTATATGGAGCTGTTAATAAAAGTGGAGCAAGAATTGTTCTCTGCATCTCCTTTGAGTAAATGCTCCGCTTTAGCCTCAGATTTTGGTCTCCCTCCTTTCCGCATGCCTTCGTGGTGAAACTGGAAACACGGTGCACTCGACTTCGGGAGGCGTAGAGTTTGAACCCCGGAGAGGACAGTGAGGATTTCTGCAGTTTTCTGCATTGATATCACCTAAAGCTGTACAAATTTACTCCAATAGCACGCTTTTACCTACTGCTGAATTGGTCCGTGTACCACTCGGTCCGCCAAGCGCATTCCATTAGAAAAGCTGCTTAGGGTAGATGTAGAGATGCTGCATTCTGCTGTACCTCTACATCTACCCGCCTCAACATTTTTGCCAGATATTCTTGAATCAAGCTCGATCCATGATTACAGGTATAGTTCTACAGAGGCAAAAGTAATTGTGAACTTTAAATACCTGGAAAAATACACTGGTGTGCAAAAATTAAGGACGAGACGGTTTTTTCAATATAACTTTGTACAAAAGCTTTCCAAATCAACACATTTAATACCGTAAGATCCCCAATACGTAAGGACATGAGTAATGTAAGCAACACTTACTAAAAGAGATATGAGGGATAAAAAGAAGCTTTATTGAAAAAGTAGCATGGAGCACAATGCGACTGAAGGCCGGAACATCCCTGTGATGGGTGTCCAGCAAGAAACATCCGGTCTTTAATAGGGGATATGATCTCCCCCTGACTGCTAAGCAGGTTTCACGGCGTCTGCCGAGAATGAGGGTGTCAATGAGTTGTTGAGGCATTGCTGCTAATTCGTCTTGCAGCGCCAATCGAAGCTCCGGAATCGTTACTGGTGGTAAGGTACGAGCTGCCAAGCGTCTGCCTAGAAAATCCCATACATGCTCGATGGGATTGAGATCCGGAGATCGTGCCGGCCAATCCATACGTTCAATATCCTCACTCTCTAAGAGCTGTTCGGCAGCTACTGTGCGATGACATGGTGCATTGTCGTCCATGAAAAGGAACTGCGGACCCATAGCGCCTCTAAAAAGTCGCACATATAGAAGAAGAATCTCGTTACAATAACGGGTCCCGTTGACTGAACCTGCGTTGGAGATGTGAAGGTCTGTACGACTACCAAGCATGATGCCTCCCCAAACGAGAACACCGCCACCTCCATACCTGTCCCTTTCAATGATGTTCGAGGGATGATTGCGGCTTCCCCGCTCTCTCCAGATGAGTATGCGATGAGAATCGCTACTCAGACTGAATCTGCTCTCATCTGTAAAGAGTACTCGTCCCCATTCATTGTCTCTCCAATTCCGGTGTTCCCGGCACCACAGAGAACGCCTTCTCCGATGGGCAGGCGTTGGAGGTACACACCGTACAGGGCGTCGTGCAAACAGACCACCACCGTGCAGTCTTCTGACCACGGTAAAATGCGATATCGGTTGTCCAGTCGCCTGTGTCGTGTGTCTAGCGATTTCTCCCGCTGTCTGCCGCCTGTTTCTTCTGGCCTGTAAGGCAGTATACCGGTCATCTGCGGGTGTGGTTCCTCGTGGACGACCACAACTAAACCCCCGGATAGCTGTTCCTGTAGTTTGAAATTGTCTACAAAGTCGTGAAACGATGCTGTGAGCAATTCCGAACTCTGCAGCCACACTTGTCACACTGTGGCCTTCCTCCAACTTCCCAATGATTCGACCTCGGGTAAAAGCATCCAGATGTCGTCTAACAGATTGATTATTCGCCATTTCTCGCTGAGGCGGCAACTCGGTGTGATTTTAACTGCTATACGGCGTGCAATCTCTTTGCCAGAAATACTGATCTTACACCGACAACATGCTTTATACTACTCAGACACTTCCCCATTACGTCTACCTGCATATCTGCGCATGTGCTACCGTACATCACCTTACTTAATCTCCTGAATGGTCTTTCTGTCCGCTCTGCCTCTTCGTTCAGCTGATATGCTAATTTTTCGACTTCGTCCTTAATTTTTGCACACCAGTATATACACAACACATCATGTCAGGGTTCCTTCTTATTTTACAAGACCTAGAAAACTAGTTTTCCGAAGTTTGTCAATATTTCAATGAGTGGAATTGATATCTCTACGTTCTCTTTAGGTTGCTAAGCCCAATTTTCAACTCACGATGAAAACGGACGTATACTGCAACATTATATGGTTTTTAACCGTTTGAAGAATGAGATGTAATTTAATATAATATAATGTAATATACGAGGGAGCTGAAACCCTCCTGGCCGATAATAATAGGCCTCATCTTGGTTAACGCAGCATACCCAACACAGATTAAAAAACTGAGACCAAAATTTCCAGTATTGTTCTATTGGAGACAGAGATTTAAAATTTGACTTCTAACATGAAGTATGATATAGACTCTTCTAAAAGTTATAACCAACTTCTTCAGATGTCATCATGATTTATGGACTTCAAATTTATAAACGGTAGTTTTAAATATCTTCTCTGAGGCCTTCAAAAGACTGAAAATTCTTATCAGGTATGAGATTTTTCAAAAATTCTTTTCCAGCGATCTTAAATCTTAAACAGCATGGTGAAGAGAAAACTTTAATCCAATAAACTATGTACAGCCGAGTAAGAGAAAGAAAATATTCTTCGGCAGAAGGAAGAAAGATGTGAAGAAAATGCAGTATTTGTTGTGATGTGATAAAGTTAATATTTCTCACTTCTTGCAGTTTGATTTGTCACAGTCCCTTTCTTTGTTTTGTATTATACCTTTTGTAAATCATAGCTAAGGTCTTCCAGTGAGAAAAAAATGGGGGCAAGGTATTCAGAGTTTTGAATCCTTTCTGGAAATATGAAAATTAAAATCTTCTTCCTTTTCTTGAGCATTGTAAACCTCATCCAAAAAGCTGTTAAAAGCTTTAACACAAAACGTTATAAAAATTTATTTAATGACACTTTAAGAAGGGATCATTAAAAAGAATGGAATTACTGCAATTTCAGTGCTATTTCGATCACTAATGTTACTTCGTGTTCTAGAAATGTTCGGTACTTAGTGCTTTTGTTAAAATAAGTAATTTTCGATTTTTTGGAATATTTTGCAGAAAATTAAATATTTATTATTTACTGTTTATTTATGCTTTATATTAACGTACTAATCCTATGTCTACACTAGAAATGATTTGGAAAGATTCTGAAAAAATGTAAAAGAATTTAAACTAATTTACATATATTTTTCTCAAATTATGTTAAGAAAATTAACGTCAAGATTCAAGAGTTTTAATTGCCAATTTCATCTACTGAATTCTACTTATAGTTTCTAATACATATAGGTACACTATTAAAGACTGTATTTTAAAATTTGCGCAAATATCAAATCTTACTTTAATTAAATACTTAAGTAGGAACCTCTTTTTTCTTGTCATTGTTATTTTTATCTTAAGGATTTGAGAGGTTCCAGATTGCTTTAAGTTTCCGATTTGAGAAATTTTAGAATTTTCCCAATCTGTGAAGCAATATTCTGAATTTTAACATTTTAGTGGTAAAATTTCGTGATTATAATGTGTTTTCGGGATATATTTCAGAGTAGTAGATGTTAGTCGAAATGAGGTTCGAATGAAATCCTATGTAGAATTTACATCGATGATGTCCTAGTAAAATTGTTGTCGATAATGATCGATGTAGGTTAATTTGATTTCGCGAAGCTACATTTTTATAGTGATAGATTAACTAAATTAAATGTATAGTGTTAGTCTATTTTTAATATGTGAGATAACGTGTTATTAGTCACATAATTAATATTACTTTCAATTTTATTTAGTTGCTCTACAGTTACAAAATGTGTACATGTGAATACGGCGTAAGAAACGGTATCTTCTTCTTTATATTTCGATTTAAAAGACTGTAATTTTGAAATAAATATAAGAATTTTTTAATTAAAAGATTTTTGTTTCCGTTTCGCTATAAAGATAAATATTTTATGATACAAAGACATCAATATTAGTATTTAGGAATTCATTCATTTTGCATTTTATCATCCATACTATTGAAATCTGTGCTCGTCTGTCTGTTTGTTTATTTGTAATGTCATGTCCGCCGGAACGGCGGGGAGATGAGCTTCGAGAGAGGTACTCCCGAATTAAAAAACTTCGTGGTAAGCCGTTTCGGCCATTCTCATCTTCGTACCACGTAAATAAGCCGGGATATTAATTAAAAACTCTGAAAAAGCTAATTTTTGCACTCATTTTTCCGAGTGGCAACAGATTAGCGCGCTGGAGGGGAAAAAATCTGCTTTATTTCGAAAAGTGTTGCCACATCTCGCTTTCAAATCGTAGAATTTGTTAATAAAAATTTTGCCGGTTTTACAAAATATGAAATATAGATAGCACTGCCAAACATTAAATATATTATTATTATATACGGTCATATTCTGAATTTGAAGAAAGCACGCGACGCGACTGCATGTGACATCACTGTATGTTCAAAATAGTTCGTTAATGTCAGCATTTAAATAAATAATTGCTGTTGGCAACTTTTTTGCTTCAAATTCAGAAAATTTCCACGTTACTTCTCTTATTCATATTGAGAAAAAGATATTATATTATTTTGAATTTAAATCATGACGTCATACATATATGTATTAACCTGAAGTGTCTAAAGTGTTTGTTTCCGGATTTGGCAACAAAAAAAAAAAAAAAAAAAAAATTATTTACGAATTATTTTGTTGCTTGGAAAGAATAAGCTGATTTCATTCACATTGAAATGCTTTAATACATTTTCCTTTCAAGCATATATAGAATATATCAATTTTGCTTTGGCCACAAGCCCGCTCATATCTCGGGCTTGCCCGCTAATCTATTTTAATAACGTTACAGAAAGAATTTTCAAGTTTACCATGTGCAGATATTTATTTTATGCCTACGTGCTTTTGTTTTCTTTCAACAACATATCCACTTTCGAAAATTTGCATAACCATATGGCAATAAATTGAGGTTGAAATAATGATATCTCGTCATGAATAGGAAATGTGTTTAATTTATTTAGATGGTTTCAAAACAAACGGCAAATTTCTCCGTTGAATCACAGAATAGTCCAAATGAAGACGATATAGATTCCTCTCCTTCGGAAAAATTAGTGAGTTAAATCTGTTTTTTAATCTAATGAAAAATTAAGAAACGGGATAATCAAATGCCTGTTTTCAATTTTAATAAATATAAATTTCAATTTTAATAAATATAAATTTTAATAAAAGTTTAAATAGGAATGAAAATGCGTTTTATTAATTACTTTAACATGCAAAGCATGCTAAATTTTCATTAACTATTTTCATCTTTTTTTTTTTTTCTATTAAATCTTGCAAATATTTTATATTCGAATTTAATACTCAAATTTGTTATTCCTATACCACACGCCTACACTTGAGGAGATTTAGATCAGATTTTGAGTAAAATGCATTTATATTCTGTGATTTTTAAAGCTCCTTTTAATATTACAATTCCATGCTTAACAAGAATTTAGTAAAACACATCGCACCACATAAGAAGCATCACTTTTTAATATATGATTAAAAAAAAAGATTAGGCATTATAAAGCAATAATTTTAGCAGCAAAATGCCAATGTTTCCTGCTGTATTATTTTATATTAGGTATATTATCTTGAAATTAAAAGATCAGAATTTTGGAGAAAAGAATGATCTTGCATTAAAAGTTAGCCCCAAAGAATACTTTTAACTTAACGTTATGTATGGTAATATCAATGTTTCTTAAATTTTTTGGACCTAAATCCTAACACCAAAAAAAAACCTGTTAAATGGCTTGACCCAAAATGAAAGAAATATTCATTTTTGACACTTAAAAAAAAGGGGATCGTTAAAAAGGAATGAAATTGTTGCAATTTCATTTATATTTGGATCATTAATATTACTTCGTGTTCTAGAAATGTTCAATAAGTGCTTTTGTTAAAGTAAGTAACTTTTTGATTTTTTGGAAATTTCTGCAGAAAATTTGGTATCCGATATTTATATTTTGATTTCCGATATATTAATGTCTATTTAGGCTTATTTTTGAAGTAATAATCCTGTTTCCACACTTGGTTTAATTTAAATGTTTTTAAGCTAATTTAAAAATATTTTTCTCAAATTATATTAAGAAAATTAAAGTCAAGAGTTTCAAATGCCCACTTCATCTATTAAATTATATGTACAGTTTGTAATAAATATAGGTATATTATTAAAAAATGTATTTTAAAATCTGCACAGATTTCAATCTTGCTTTAATTAAATACTTTGAAATTAAGTAAAAACCTTTTTTTTTTTTTAAATTTCTTATTGTTATTCTTATCTCAAGGGTTTCAGAGGTTCCTGAATGTTTTAAAATTCCGATTTGAGAACGTTTAGAATTTTTCCAATATCTGAAGCAAAAATCTGTATTTGTTTGGATCTTACATATGCTTGTTTAAAAGCGCATGATAAGGTTAAAAAAATTGGAAAATCACATTCGTAAATTCTTAAAACGAATTAAAAGTAGGGAATCTGAATAATTCAGATCCGAATTTCTGTACACATTATCAGTCATTTTAGAGAATTAGGAAATAAAGATTATCTTCCAAAATGTTTTCTTTTTTCGAAGTCGGATTTCCAAAATTCAGGTAGTTGTGAACAATCGCAAATCAGGAAAGGGGAATTGTATTTCTCGAGAATTCTCCGAAATTCCCCAAATCATCTTTTTTACTTAGTTTTCGCAGATCACTTCCAAGAAATGTTATCACCATTGCTATTATTAAACTTAGCATCAGTTTGGAAAGATTTCTGTTATATTTGAAATATAAATATAGGTACTTTTCCGTTTCGCAGGCGCAAATCTCGCCAAGCAGACTTTACTGGCGACAACATATAGTATACACATAAAAAATATTTAAAAAATTTTAGTTCCAAGAATTTTTTATTTTGAAGGCATAAACATTTTAATATCGCTTAAAATTTTATAAAAAGCCAATAAATAAAGGCAACAAATTTGTAAAAAGACATTAATTTAAGAATTTACTATGCTTTCATGGTTCAACATCCTGATTCGCCAGTTCATATCACGTGACCCCAAGCGATCTCATCTCAAGCAAACTACTCTACAAAAATATAATGCTCTCAGTAATTATCTACATTAATTTCAAGTTCAATCTTCATTTGATACACAAGGTTAAATGCAAGAAATATTTCAATTCGTACGAATAGCTTACTCAGAAATTATGTAAAACCGCAGTGCTTTACTTTGCTAATGCATTCTCATTAGAATGGATGAATTTAACCCTTGACTTTACCTTTTCTATATTTTCGGCTTCGGGTAAGTGCTGTGATTGCATCCTAATTGACTTAATTACCGAAAATGGCCTTAGACATAAAACTGTACTATCTGATAAAAATTCTATGTAATTATATGCTAGTATTGAAAGAAACAATCAATCTGATAAGAAAAAGCTGCGACTTGTTTTGAAAATGAGGCGTAAAAGGTTACCAGCGAGAATATTCCGTTTGGCATCGGTTGTACCATTATTGGCGACTTTATCGCTTGCGCCGGCAAAACGGAAAAGTACCTAAATATATACTAACTTTAATTAAATCTGGTAATAAAAGTTTCTGCGCATATTTTTACATAAATCCAAAAATGTATAATTACCAGGTTTCTTTAAGTCATTTATTCATGACATTAAACAAAAGAAATGTAAATATTATTCAATTTAGAATTGATATAGTCTGTACCATATATTATTCTGAATTTGTCTGAAATCTTTTTATCATATTTAAAATATATATTAAATGAATGCAGCATAATTTGTGCATTAGATAATCGTGACCTTTGGTTAGACAAATATGGCAAAACTCCGTTTTGGGTTGAAACTGACCGAACTCGCTTTATCCAGTTTGAGTTTAAGATCAACTTTTGATTTAATAACACAACTCTTTATAATCAATCGACCTTCTTGTTTTGCCTTCTTTCCTTACAGGTCTGTAAAACAGGAACTTAATTATCTATATAGACTTTTCATGCATATTTACAATTAAGTTGAATTAAGTATATTCTTCTTTTCAAATAATGAGTAACTGTATGATCTAGCTTATACATTTTCAATCATAAAACACTAAATGCCAAATCAATTAGTCAACAAAATGGGTTCTTTTGCTCAATCAATTAGTCAACAAAATAGCCAAAAAAGCTCTTTTTTTTTTTTTTTTTTTTTTTTTTTTTTTTTTTTTTTTTTTTTTTTTTTTTTCGTAGGCTATCTGATCCGTAATTTCATTAAATATTGTTAGTATTTCTGTTTATAAATATATTTGCAACAGTGTCATTAACTTTAAAAGTGTGATCCACAACTTGTGTTTATAAATATATTTACAATAATGTTATTAGCTTGAAGAGTGTGATCCTAAACAAAGATCTGCAACATCGAAAGTACATTGTACAATAATTTCTGTATTAAATTACAATATTTTGCAATTAAATGATGAATTATGTACAAATTAAATACAAATACAACACAATGATACAAATTAAATGATGGATATATGCATTGTTTTCAGGAAGCGCCTGGTCAATTTATCTTTGCGATTATTGCAGCAGCAGTTGGCTCCGCCTTTCAGCATGGCTACAACACAGGCATTGTCAATGCTCCTCAAAGTGTAAGCCAAATTAAAAAAACAAAGCTCTGTAATAACAAGTAAAATTTTGATTGCATGTTAACTTTAGTATTCTTTTACGCACTTGAGTTTTATGCATTACTTTCTGAGCCTAAATCCTGCATTACTTTCTGATTAACCTAATTAAGAAAAGTGCCTAAAGCGTATCATTGCCTAAACTGTAACTTGTAAATAAGTTTTTATTATCATACGATGTATATTTTCTTTGTTACTGATAAAGTACGACTTAATTTGAAGCAAAAATTAATGGTTATTTTTTATTAACTAGTAATGATTTTTATTCGTTTTACAGTATAGAAATATATACATCAACAGTATTTTTGTCAATCAGTTTTCATTTTCAAATATTTCAAAAAGACACAGTTTCAGTTAGAGTAGATAAGGTTATTTGAGTCCCAACAAAGCGCACGAAGGCTATCTGCCTAAGGTGAAGGATGCCTTTGAAGGAAATATCCTAGAGGAATGGCTCAGGCCATGTTAGACAAAAACCACGATAGTACCAACCAACTTGTTCTTAGCGGTTACAGCCACTACTCAGTGGTCTTAACGCCTCGGTCACGGGTAAGCCAGGCTTGATTTCTGAAGCTAACAAAAGTTAGGAAACTATTTAATAAAATTGTTAAATTTTACGAGTTATTAAACATGATTTTTGTAAAAAAGACCTTCTCCCGAAAGAAAAGATAGAAATAGCTTAAGTTGAAACTACTATACGCCATTCTAGAATTACAACTAGTTTTCTCCGGAGAATATGGTAATGACATTTGACGAATTTTCGAGTTTGCGGTAATTGAGACTGATAATAAAAAATAAAAATAAAAATAAAAAAAAAAAAAAACGCTGAATAAGATATTTGTTATAGATTAATTTCTGGAATATGTCATAAGAAGAAATTCCAAGCACAAAATGTAGCTAGCATAGACTATAACTAGTTAGCTGCATACGAAGCTAATTTTTAGAAGTACTCCGAAAATGCTGAAGACGAACCTGATCATAAGATGTTTTCCCGATACTTGAAAACACTTAATGACTACTTCTAGGATTAATCTGTAATTGGTTCTAAGATTATTTGTTCAAACGGGGATTGAACAGAATAGAGCTCTGGGCTCTCTAAAGGATTATTAGTTAAATTAATTTTTTCACTTTTGTGTAGAACTTACTTCAGTTCCCATAACTGGACAACTGTTTATAAAAGCTTTGGTTGATTTATGAGAAGAATAATATATGGTAGATAGAAGGCATCTTTCTTCTGCAAGAAAACACTCTAAATTGCTTGTATTGTATTTTGAGGCGATGATGGATATTTTATTCATTAGCTTTCAGCAGCATGCACGCCAGACTGAAATGAAAAGCTAGCAAACTGATCATAGAATTAGTGGTGTCATCTAGTTGCTGATTGGTAAACTAAACTACCTAGTAGTTTTGTTTAACAATCAGTCACTAGATGACACCACTAATTCGTTAAACGTTCACGACTTCAAATTCTACATTAAAAAAAGGGGGAGGAGTTAGAAACTATCAATCCTGCTTAATAGAAATTTTTCAGTTATTTTCAGGGCTTAAGGAGGACTTAAGCTTTTTCAAGATATTGTTCGCCCATTATACTTCCTTACAAAGAGTAAAATTTCTGAAATTATTATAATTTGTTACAATTATAACTTATTTTGCATCGGTTCTGATCAGCAGTCCTATTTATTTATTTTAAAGGATAATTTTTCAAGTGCTTCAGTTTTGAATAATTTTGTTGAAGGCGAATCTTTCCATAGTATTCATTTTCGAAGTGAAAAGTGTTGAAAATTTGGAAGTCCTTATAATGTTTTGAAGTCGGTACGCCCTTAACAGCAGCACTCCACAAAGAATGCATTTTGTTTTTCCTCCAGTTAGTTTGCAACGTTCTGAATTCCAATGATCGATTCTACATCTTGTAATTAATTGCAACACAAATTTGAAGCAAAAACTCTACTCAAATTAAACGCAAATTTGAAGAAATCATCAAGGCACCGGTTCGTAGTGACATTCTATACTCGTAGTATACTTATTTGTACTTTATTATAATGTAAAAGTTTCATTTATGAATATAATTAAATAATATAAATTTAAAGGGTTTTGTTCTTTGATTATATATACTCCATTTAGGATGCACTGATTTTTAATGGCGAAATGTTTAAAGGTGGTGCATATATTTTTGTTTCATATTTATGTAGGAACTGACAAAGAATTGGCTTAGCATATAAATCAGAGTAATATATAATTTGATCATATTAAATTTATTAGGAATGCTTTCTTAGAGTTGGCAACAAGAATAAGATGTCAGCAGTTTTCTATTAGTATTTTGTGCGTCGTATGTGTATTTGCTGTGTGTTCAGTTCCATTAAAATGGTTTTCTAACTCAAAAAGCCTCATATATTTAACTTCTGCCACCCACATGGACTACAAATTATCAGAAGTGGGATAGTAAATAAATCGAAACGTCTACAAATTATCACAAATGGTATATACAAGTCCACATTTATGTGGTACAAAATTTGAAAAGTTTGAGAGCCCCTGCTCTAAGGTATTTAACAATATTGTTGCTAGGAATTTTAACATTTCCGAAGCCTAGTCTTATAAAATTATGCACTCGCTGTAATATCTTTTCAGTAATATTAAACATAGCTTAGAAGGACCATTTTTTTGTGTCATAGCTACACCATTAATTTTGTTACCTAAACGGTAAAAGATCATTCGGTTATTCAGATTACTGCAGAGAAAGTTCAGTATAATCTTATGCTTTGCTATTATGTTGTCAAGAAAAAGCCCAATATACAGAGGACGGCTACATAGTTTTAGAAGGATTTCGTGACAGTTTACTTAATGTTTAAAATGTAAAAAGTATTTTTTAAATATTCTATTTGATCGATTTTTTTGGACTATAAGTCTGCATCGTGATTTTCATTACACAAGGTAGTTTCTTAGAATTGCCAGGGTTATTAATTTCCAGTCTTCTTCCACTACTTTCCAGAGTCCGTCAATCATGCAGGGTTTCCGCTTAGAAAAAGCTCTTTTCAAGAGATTAGAGTCACAATACTCCATAGGTGAAATGTAAAAGGACTTCGAACGAATACGTTGAAAAAGGTATATTTTCAACACTTACGTCAATCTTCATTTTTCAAGGAACCCAATGGTATTTTTTTAAGAATAACTTTGTCTTGATGATGTTTCATTCTTTTAAAGTCAATAGGATAAGAAAGGAGATTTCTTCCCTAAGTATCGGACGTATAGATAGTACTTTCGTTGATTTTAGCACTTTTACCACTCTTCTTATTTTTAATTTAGTAGTGTAAGAGAATCAACAACTATTATAAACCCGTTACTGGAATTTTGTTTGCATTGACAGAACCAAATTTTTGGATTTTTTCCCTATTCGTTTTCGATAATACACAGATACTTTCTTGTTGCAGATATTTAGGTAAATCATGCTTCAAAGGTTGCAATGTATGTACTTCTATTTGTTTCCTACTAAATATTTATTTTTTACTAAATAGTTTTCATGCAGGTTCCTAAAAATGTTCTTTGTTGAACTCCAATTCCTAGGTGAACATTATGTTTTTTAACTTTTTTAAGTTGTAAATCTTCATTTATAATTTTATTTATTGTTCCTGAAGATGTATTTAAGGACTTAGCGATTGATTTCTGCATGTTTAACTTTAAAGGCAATTTATAAACAGTACGTATCTTTTTTGAGTATTCGCTTGAAGTTTACTTTTCCATGTAGAAGTAATGACTGACGATTTTTTCCTTTCCTATTATAATGTTGCTTATTTTTAACTTAGATATTCGAGTACCATGCATTTTACAACGTTTTTATATTATGGAAAAGGAATATTTCTCTTCGGAAACGGCTAAAACATATCCATCAATCCATAGTTGTTTACGTGCGCCAATTTGAAAGAAAAGTAGCAAACGATATTTTTCATTTCAAATAAACTGTTCACAGAAAGTTTCCTTCAAAACATTTGCTTTTTTAAAATTGTTTATCGAAATCGTTCTAAAAATGCATAAACACTCTCTGGAATATTTTAGCATTTGGCAGCGTAATATTAGTTAATTTTAGCCCAATAGCAAAGTATGGGAATATACTGTATATATACTAGTTAAATAACCAGTTATTTTATGTTCCAAATCTGTACTGTTACTTCTCTCTTTCCGTTTTCCTGCCAGAATGCAAATTGTCTCTCGCATAGTATTTAAATGAGGAGAGTTTGTTTTAGTCAGAACATGTTCTGCCTGCTGAAGGCCACGCTACGAGTTGTTATTCCAAGATAAGCGTTCCTGTATACAGCGTTGCTTTATTCTTGCTGATAATGTTCTCACGCCGGAAGAGATTTGTCTCTTTATGCCTCAACGTTCGTAGCGCCATCTGTTATCAAAAATCGATTTAAGAAAGGAGTATTAATCCTCCTAAGTAGCCAACTTCCTCTTTTATAAATATCTCTGCGTAGCCTTTACCTAATAGCTACTGAGATTTTGTTCAGTTTTAAATTCCACTTTTGAGATCACACCATATATGCCGGCTGATTTGTAAGCACCAGGCGTGCTTTCTGTTCAGCTTACTTAGTTTTAAATAAAAGGTGCTTTTATACATTTCTGTTCTTTCATCTTAGACGTAGCGATAAGTCGCTTAAACCTCTATTAGAAGATTTGCAAAAGTTACACTTAGTTAAAGGCACAATAACTGCAAGTCTAAGAAAAGAACCAGATTGATTGATGGGCATCTACAAAGCCTGATGAAGATAGTTTCCAGTAATTGTTGTCTAATGTTAGAAATTTATCAAAATCGAAACCCTATGAAGATTAGCAAGAAACGACAATTTTTTTATTATTATTATTTACGTACAAATAACAAGTATTTTTTCTGTATGCGTCAAAGATAAATTTAGTAAATAAAAGAATAAGTCTTTACCTATCCTCAAGTTTTGTTCCACCAGAATGCTTTCATAGTTTATTTATTTATGGTTTAAATTTGAGTTATTTTAAATTAATTTCAATCCAAAAATTTAATCTTTAGAAGTTAATACGTTTGAATAATGCAGATAATAAACTTTTTTTATTACTTCCTTCTCTTATTCTCTGCAAAAGTGTAGATTTCAGATAAAAAATTAATTATCAATGAAAATGTTTTCCTTTATGTCATTATTATTACTGTTTATGCATGTTTCGATAAATATATATTAAATAAAATTTTTAATTTAATTAAACAAATTTTTTGGTTTTAAAAAAACTTTCCCTTTTGTAAAAAACATTTTTTGTCTGTCAGGTGCTTTCAGATCTAGCACTGGATTCGCATGGATATGAGTATGAGACCATTGCCTTAAGTTAACAGAACAACTGTATTTTTCTAATATAACATAAGTTCCCGATTTGGGAAAAAAAAAAAAAATCTATTCAGAAAAAGTTTCGTAAAATGTAAACAGCGGGAGTGGAAAACTTTCTTGTGTGAACTATGTAACATAATTAATTTAAAAAGTATTTTCTTAACGAGTAAATATAAATTTATGATTAACTTTAAAAAAGTAGTCCGACTTTCATTATGCGAAAAAAAATTCTTTCGTTAAAGAAATCAAAACCCACTTCCTAACTTTCCTTAGTTAGTCTTATAAGTTATTTCTCTTGCTTTCCTAGCGTGCCTTCGTGGTGTAGTGCACGCTGGCCGGTATTCCAGAGGTCCGTGGTTCGATTCCCGGCGATGGCAGTTGCCCATTTTTTATCTCTGTGGCTTCCAAAAACTACGTAATGTCTCTACAGTCTTTTTATGACTATTTCCTCCAAGAAATTTGTTTTGAGCTGTGAATGTGGGTAGCAATAACAGCAAGTCAAAACCAAGTATCGTTTGAATTAAATAACAATGAAGTTTAAATATCTTATCTAATGACTAGCACTTTTATATACATATAGTACATAAGTGTATGTATAGTGTATATACTTTATATATAGTAGGCGCCACTTTATATGATTGCATTTGTCCGTAACTATTTTGATAACACTACTCGAATGGTAATATCAAACGCTGACAAAAAGTCTTAATTTAATATAAATTTAGCTAGAAACGTATAAATATTTTCACAGCATTTAAATAAAAAGAAATGCATTATTAATAGAGGATTGTTCGTAGTTGTTACATTAAGATCCATGAATGAACTGCTCACAATGGTATTGGAATTTATTTGACAGATATTTTCTTTCTTACTCTGAATTAACTAACACTACGGCTCTCTACAGCTAATTTTTCAGCTTTCTACTTCATGAACCGTTGACGTCCCCATCTTCTTCACGAACATTTAGAAACTAAATTATTTATACTTTCTCAACATTGCGATTTTTCCCGCTATGCATCACTATGCATAGTTATATTTCGATTTTGCTTTGGTTTGCAAATAAAATCTTCGAAATTGTTTAAAACATTGCATAAGAAGAACTGAAAAATATTTAACTTGAGAACAGCATTCCGTTTACTCATTTTAGTGAACTGATCTTAGTGGTCTAACAAGTCAACTTTATCCCTCTGACTCAAATCATTAATCCTTTTACTAATCTCCACGTAAAAATGACTGAACAGATTTTGGAATATGAACACTTACCAGAATTGAATATTCATAAAGATCTAAAACTCAAAACAGAGTAAAGAAGTTTTTGGCCCCAAAAGCAAGTTCATCAAAATTCAAAGAAGGTTTTGGCCTCCAAAAGCAAGTTCATCTAAAATTCAAAGAAGGTTTTGGCCTCCAGAAGCAAGTTCATCTAAAATTCAAAGAAGGTTTTGGCCTCCAAAAGCAAGTTCATCTAAAATTCAAAGAAGGTTTTGGCCTCCAAAAGCAAGTTCATCTAAAATTCAAAGAAGGTTTTCGCCCCCAAAAGCAAGTTCATCTAGAATTCAATTTCGTTAAACTGGTTAGTCCAATCGATCTTTCTAAGACTTAAAAATTGGGTTCCTTTGCACACAGTTACCTTAAATTAAAATTAAGATATTTGACAACTTAATCCCTTACATGGCGACATTTCTCTGTTATTTGGCTATTGCTGTTCTCCATTTCAACCTTATTCGTTGATTTTTCTCTGCTGAATTTACTTCAGTTTAAAAAAATTCCTTTTTTCAGATTTTGATCACATTAACCGTCTCGTTGATCATAAAAAGCGATCTGTTTTTCATGTTCCGCGATCATATTAAACGGCGCCTACTGTATACGTAAGTGTTACTTTCCAAAAGTGAATTTGAGATCATGCATCATTTTGTATTGAATTGCTAGGTTATCGAAAAATTCATCACCGAAACATACTATGAAAAGTACAAAGAGATGCCGGCAACATCTATGGTTACTCTCATCTTTTCTATCATGGTGTCCATTTTCTGTCTTGGCGGTATGGCCGGAGGTCTTGGAACGGCTTACTTGGCAAAAGCTTTCGGTCGCAAAGGTGGGCTCATTTTGAATAATATTTTGGTCTTCATAGCGGCAGCACTAATGGGGTTCGGAAAAACAGCCAAATCTTATGAGATGATGATCGTTGGAAGATTCATTATAGGTGTAAATGCTGGTAAGTATGAATATCTTTTTTTTTTTTGTAAGATGAAATTTTTTCAAGTAATTTATGCAGAGTGTTTTAAAAAGATTGAAAGCTGAAATATTTTTTGAACGGTTGATCATAAATCCCTGGCTCCAAAGAAATTCTCGTAACAAAGTAGGTTTTCAGATTACGAAAATTTAGGTTATGTAACATATTTTAGTGAAAATATGCGGAACATAAATTTTTATGTGCATCTGATAGGAAAAATATATTAATGCGAAAGGGGTTTTTCATAGACAAATTTACTCAAAAAGAAGAAAGGGAGAAAACTTTCTCATACAATCCAAATTACCCGAGACGCCATCAACTGAAATTATTTAGGACTACAAAAGTACAAAACTTTTTACATTATGCAATCATGAATTGAACACTAAAGGTTTCAGATTACTACTGTTAGGAAAGGAAAATATTCGAAATTTTTTATCTAATAAAATTGTTTATAGCTCTTAAACCGACTTTTTTTCAACCGAAAATGATTTCGCTCATACAATGCGCTAATTCCTGCTTACTGAGAGAAATATTTTCGCAGGGATGTCTCATATGGGAAAAGAAAACGGCTTACTAACTTCCACTTTCTTCATATGGGATCTGTAAAAGGTGAACAAGTTTAACATAGGCTGAAAACATACCTTATTTGATTCATTTCTAAAATTAAAATATACATCTATGTTAAATCGTTAAAGATACCAGAGGGATACCCTGAATGATACTGTTGCGTTTGTCTTTCTTCTGACACCAGTTGTTACGTTATTTTCTTCCTTTACGTCCGTACGAGGTTCGTGTGGATTTGGAGCGAATAACGACGACACTTGATGAAGTATCGAAACACACTTTATTTACCAATATTAATCAGGACAGCTCCAAAACACTTTTACAGTCGTCGAAGATCTACTATAAACACGCTGACACGATTCAGCGACACAGCCTCTAGGTTATCAGGCTATAACGGTGGAGACAGCTTCACTGCAAAGCACCAGAATACAGCTCCCGACTCTCCTCAGTCGTTCTCGGAACTCCACGTACTGTCGAGACTCTCCACGCTACAACTCGCGAGGCACTCGACGACTCACGAGCACAGCTCTCGACTCTTCGGTTCAGTCGTTCCCGGAGCTCAACACGCTCTCTCGACGATGCACAAACCGCGATACACTAACAGACTACTTCGGTGCACTCGACTACCCACTCGGCACTCGCTCCTCGGCTGGCAACTCGATCGACTCCGCAGGGATTGACTCACTAGACGAGACACACACTAACTCGTAATTAACTCTCCGCGTACCAGCAGGGTTTATATAGCTTTTGACTGGTGTTCGAGAACATTCTGGCTAAACCGGTAAGAATTCGTTCCAGAAGGTTCTCCAACCGTCCATGGTATATCGCCAATTTTGTCACCAAATGGGCGATTTCTCGCCAAATGTGGCAACCCTGCCTTCTCTTGTCATTTTATGGCAACCCTAAAATTACTTTTCGGGGAAGCCATCTCACCGCGCCTGTACATTTCGTAACAATATGTACAAATACATAATTAAAAAATTTTTCTTTGCCGCCGATCCGCATGATAACTAAATAAGCAACTACTGAACATGTGGTTTTGCTTCAAATCCTTGGGAAAGCTTTATGATTAACATACTTAGGACAGTAAGTTATAGCTAGATATTATCCGTATCACAAAATTTTATTAATACACTTAATCTGCTAATGTCGAGATGGTAATACGCTTAAACTCAAGTGTATACACTTGCGTAATACACTTGAGTGGTTCCCCATGCTCTTCTCACACGATGATAATGATGATATGTGGAGTTGTTATGCTTATCAAAGTTAAAAAGCTAAGCTTGCTAAGGTTAAAATTACACGCCGAATAATGATTATTGGAGAAAAATAATCATCGTTATATTCATAAATTTTGCAGGAATAGCTTTGATGGTTTAACTACAGAACCATCTCCCTCAGCTGCCAAAGTGCGTATAAACGAGATAAGATATGGTGATAAGATAAGCTAAGAATGACTGAACTTAATGGTCAAACTCATTTTAAAGAACTGCTAGTTCAATTAGACTTATTTATGAGATTTTTAACTTTATATATTCTAAAGGATAAACAACATTGTTTTATCGAGCAATAAATTTAAACAATTTACGTTACGAACGAGAGGGATTTTTTTTATTTCTAATTTTGTAAAAGAAATCTGATTTTGTTTGCCTTTTAATTGAATTTAGATAATACATAGTATACGTAAGTTTTTATTATTACGGCATGCATGCTTCTTATGATATGCCTCTTATCATATCCTGTTTCTTTAGCGCAAACCTTTAATCGCTTAATTGAGTTAAAATTTTGCACATTTTTCTAAGGTCTAAATGCAGGCTTAGCTCCTATGTATCTGACCGAAATTTCCCCAGTGCATCTTAGAGGAGCAATCGGGACTATATACCAACTGAATATTACTATTTCTATATTATTATCCCAAATTCTTGGAATGCCTGAAATTCTGGGGACAGATAAAGGATGGCCATACCTCTTTGGTAAGATCTGTCTTTCTTATGAAAGCAATTATCTGTTTTATATATTTCTTTTTAAAATTTGTGTAAGTGTAAACTTAAGCTTTTGTTAAATTTTACTTATTTTTCCTTAATGAAAACCTTTTGCTTGCTTTTTGTCATTTGCCAGTACTTATGTTTTTGCTTACTGTGTTTACAGGACTGATAATTATTCCATCTATATTTATGTTGGTAACACTGAATTCCTGTCCTGAGTCGCCGAAATATCTACTCATTAATAAAGGTCAAGACGATGCTTCAGAAAATGGTTAGAGCTATCAAATGGTTTTCAGATTGAAATATCGAATGTATATGTATACAATGTATGTATGTATGGACTAAAAGTATGAAATTTAGAACCAAATTCACGAAGACCCAAAAGAAATGAAATTTAAAACCAGTAAAATTTCAAAAGTCCCTATAAACTTTATTTCAGAATAAAATTTTGTGATACTGTAATAAATACATACATATATATGTCAGATAAAAAATATTTAACTCTGAATTATACTTTAAATTAACAATAACCCCTTAATTCCTCTTTTTAATTTGGACATTTTCCCCTCTCTATTCTAAAAATAGCAATAACTTTTTCGAAACTGCGTCATATCTGAGAACTAATTTTAGGATATGCCATTTTAAACTTCCGCATTGTGTACAGTTCTTAGCCAATTAGATTAACGAAATATTTTACGATAAATATTGCTTCAATCCAATTAAGCATTCTCATTGAACGCCAAAACTGCTAAATGTCATCTCCTCGCTTAACCGCATTCTTTCATTGTTCTAAAATGTAATTGCGTATACAAAATTGTGAAAGCATGCAGAAAGAAGGGAGAAAATACCTTTTTACCTCTCCTTTTTAAAGGGCGACGGGGGATTAGGGAAGCGAACATGAAAAATGAGGAATGCCCTCGCCGGGATCCAAACTTAGACATCTCGAATATCCAATGCAATTTATCGAATTTAGGGGTTGGAGGACCCATGCAGTAACAGCATCTGGAAATTTACGTTAAAATATTTGGATAAAAAGTACAGACACAGATTGTATATCATTTAATCTGTGTTAATGATTTAATTGTATATCATCTGTGTACACAGATTGTACACAGATTGTATATCATTTAATGGTATAACTTAACCGCTAAAGTTTTATCATTAGTAGGTAATTATACTCCTCTTCCTCACAACAAAATGTGGTAAACTGGAATAAAATAAAAGTAAACAAATAAGTAATAGTGCATTTCCGAAAGAACGCACGAAACAGGAAAACAACTGATTTCTTAACCTATGGTATGTTGTGGTGTTAGAAATATCCTTGATGTAATCTTTCCAAAATTTTTCGAGCGTTTCGTTTCAGTATTATTTTCTTATTGTCTACTTCCTCTGCCAAATGTTGCCACTGTAACAAATACCCCCACACCGTAACTGCCCACATTTAGCTCAAATGTGATCAAAGGATTTGATAGTATCCACTGTTCTTCGATTTAAATTAGTTTAAACTATTTAAGTTTACTGCACTGTCCAGTGACTTGTGGGTTGATCGCCAATACTCACAGCTATCCAATTACAAATTGCTTTGAAGTACAACGGCTCTTTTAATGTTTTATAAATGTATCTAAATTTACTGCGTGACCCATGCTGGAATCTGTGGGTAGACCGCTAGTAACCGCCAACTTCTAGATCACGGCGAACAACAGCCAACGCTCAACAATGTACTTTAATTTTAAAATCTATCTAATGTTACTGCACTATGCTGCGCGGTCGATGAGTGGATTGATTGCAAGGAACTGCACAGTTGATGAATGGATTGTTAACCAGCATACTACGAATGAGCATGAGCTTAGGTGGGCATAGATGGCTTTGAATTAATTTTAAAAGGTTATATAAATTCACTGCACATGCATTCAACTTTATTGCATGCTGCTCACCTATAGATTCATCGTTAGTGACTGTCAAACTGTACGTCACTGCTGTAATTGCTGTAAACGTCGCAGTAAATTTACATATACATTAATTAAAATAATACTAAAAGAAATATATTTGGCAAAAGTCAAAGCCTGCATCGCCTATAAACTACGATGTGATAATGAATCCAGAAAATATTGCTGAGGCAATAAATTCAGATTTATATTTTTAATTAGAATTAAATTGAAGGAGATATGCATCCTTCAAGGATATCGGACACCAGTACCTTACAAATTAATAGTAACTTATGATCACTTCAGAGGTCATCGGCATGCGATTATGCAATAAATTTAGGTAATTTTAAAAATTGATCTTAAATCTAAGCTCATCAGTGACCATCAGATTTGTTGGTCAATGGTGGGCAATAGATCGGAGGACACTGACCCAAGTAGCACATGACGTAGCAAAGACGTTGCAAACCGGTCCGAGAGGTTGCAAAGTGGTCGTAGTAACGTCTTTGCTATGTTACTTGGTTGCTACTTGGGTAGCGGCATGGCAATCATCCTATAGGTCATCGGTGAATTGCAGTGTAAAAATTTATAATAAATTTTCGAATTAAAATTTAATCGATGGCTATTGGTGCTTTTCAGTGTTATTAAATATCTGTGGCCTGTAAGTCATTGATCACTCGTAATCAGTCCGTAGCTCGCTAGTAATAAACAGTTCAGTAAATTTAGGTTGGTTAAAAAATTAAATTAAATCAAAGGACACTGGCTTTCATTGAAACACTGTTGAGCTATGGGTATTGGCCGTTAACCATGGATCATTGCAGTCTGTTACTTTAAAACAATAGGCATTTCAACGTCTTTTCACCATTTTGCACTTATGTTCTTAACACACGTTTAAATTTCAGACACTGCATTTAATAATAAAAATGCAATGTCTAAAATATTATTCAACAAAAAGTATACTTGTCATCAACAAAGAGAATATTTTGGGAAAAGTCATTAAAAGAGAAATAAAAATGATTTATAATTTTGGAATGTTTCTATCGGCTAAATTAAGGAATGAACATAGAAATGTCCAAAGCAATGATTATTTCTTGTACATTTCGGGCTTTAATCACATCAGCTGGCAATGCTTTAATTGGCTTGCCATTTTGCGAACAGGCGACATTTAGAGCTTAGTCGTGACATATACGATTAGAGGTATATCTTGTTTGAATGCAATTCAACTTCCATTAAATTTTGGGGATGTTCTTTTATACGAAATTTTAAAAAAATGTACCTTGTTGAGCGGGTGTAAATAAATATCTTTACTTAGTCAGTTGTATCAGGCTTAAGTTGAAAACCTTAAAGTATACAAATGGTTGGAAATTAAGCCTTTGGTAATTACATTTATAAATTTATATCGGAGGAAAAGATGTCTCGGTATTAGTTGGATTGGTACGATTTTGTTCCATATCTCGCTCATTTGCATTCAACCTTAAAAGCCAGAAGTTAGGTTTCTTACTTTACTACGTTCTCCTAGTAACTGAAAAAAAAAATCTTTAGCATTTAATATTTCACAAGGAATGTATTTGTGTGTTTTTAGAAAAGTGGATATAAATATTTTAGGGAAGGGTACCAACATGATTAAATTTAGAACTGTTATTTTTTGTTGTCTACTTGATTCACTCCTTTGTGCAAACTGTAATAGTAGTAACTGTACAGAAGAAGAGTTAAAAGTACCTTTCATTAACTCTTAAAAATTTACAATGCGTGAACTCGAGGCTAGCAAACTACGCCTCTGCTTGGACGGTAAATGAAATCAAAGAACTAACTAAAGTTTTGAAGATATGTACAAGTCGTCGAACTAAACTACAGGACTCAGAATAATTCCTGTATCTTAAACCTTGCCGAAAACTACTGGCAGCAAGTAAATGCAATTAAGCCACGCGAATCAGCAATAACTCTAGGAGCAGACGCTTAAGCAGCAGAGGTGACGGCAATAGCCTAACTCTCTCTCTCTCTCTTTCTTACTGAACCTCCGTTTTTAACCTCTTTCTTCAAGGTAGAATTTGCATTCCTTCACGTGCGCTACCAAATTTAAATATTCTGGCATTGACAATTAGGAGAATGTAGGCTTAAAGGAAATAATAACAAATTAAATAAAATTGGTTATTTAAAATAAATATAAATCTCTACACACTATTGTTTTTCTTATTTGAGTTTATTATCGAATAGTAAAAATATTGCATTATCGAACAGTAAAAACATTGCATACAGAATTAATCAAATACAGTAAGTTCTATTTTCCATAAAAGAGCCAATACATCAAATAAAAGTATCTAAATTCACCAATTTTTTTTTCAAATTCTCTACTATTCCCTCTAGCTCTAAAATGGCTGCGTGGCACTAGCGAAGTTCAAAACGAGATGAATGAAATGAGAACAGAATATGAAGAAGCAAAACTGGTGCCAAAAGTAAGAATTTGGTCCATTTTTAATTGAAAAAATATTTAGCTATTGTATTCAAAATATTATAATAAAAGGTTTTCTGCTTTAAAGGTGAAGCTGAGTGAAATGTGCAGTAACGCAATGTATCGCAAACCACTGATAATTTCCGTTGTGATTATGTTGTCGCAGCAATGGTCTGGAGTCAATGCTGTAAGTTATTTTCTATTGGAAACATTTAAGAAAATAGCACTGCGGTAAAACACAATTATTTTATTAACATAATATATTTAATAATAATTAACTAACATAAAACTAATAATTTGTATCCACAATTGCCTGTAGCACAGCGCATATTTAATCAACTGGGTAAATCAGTGTGCGAGCTCAACAACGCTGAACACTCACAAGGTGTCAGAACACTGAACACTGATACAATATGTTACTTTAGAACACTGATACAATATGTTACTTTACTGAACACTGAACACTGATACAATATGTTACTTTAGAACACTGATACAATATGTTACTTTACTGAACACTGAACACTGATACAATATGTTACTTTAGAACAGGTACCATGAAGTCATTTTGCCCTTCTGGCTTCCCTTCTAATCACGGTAACGACTGCTATGGAAGGTGGTCGATTCCTTTAATTTGCTAAAATCTTCTAGCGGTGTTAGGATAGTAAATGAGGAGAGGGTCTTTACGACTTTGAAGTGCTCATTTTTTAAAGCGAATGAGTATTGCTTGATATAGACTCAAATAATGGCAAAGAGGCCAGCTGCATGAATGTTTTAAAGCCTCTCCCATACGTAACATGAATAAGAGCCAGTTTTTCGAAAACTCTCCATAATAGCATTTCTTCCCTTATTGTGCTTTTCAATAATTTAGTAAACATAATTAAAAACAGAAAAATTATTAGTGTCATTATCATTATAAAGACGCAGCCCTGATCCTCCTATCCGGCACAAGCCAGCCGTATGATAAAAAAATGGGACTGGCCAGAAAAAGAAAACATAAAGGAAAACAAATAAAATCCAAAATCCGAGTCTCGGTTACGAATTCCAATTCTATCTTTGTTCGTATTTATAAACTTTCCTTACTGTCTCTGCAAAATCTTTAAAATTTGAAAAGTTCCTTTTAAAATCTTCCTTGAAATTCTTTCTATATTCCTCGCTTGCACGCCGGGTAAGCGTACATTCATCGACGAAGTGCCTGGCGTCCCCAGACTTATCATATATAAAGCATTTATCATTATTCTGTAGATGGAACCGAAACTATTAATATATGCTGATTCAAATCCAATGGACAGTGCGGATTTGAATTAGTTAGCTTCAGCTTGAAAATTTGAGGGTATACAATGTTAGACATAAGTAAAGACATGCTTTCCATTTTCTTAAAAAATGAGGAAAATTTTTTAATTCATTATTTTGATCAAGATATATATTATTTATATAATTTTTAGAATATTATAAAGGCAACTACAACATATGTTAAATTAAAATTAAAATTTATAAATTTGCAAAAATAAATAGAGCATTTCAAACAATCAGAATGAAGGACAAAGTGATAAAAGTATCAGCATGAAATGTAAATCGATACTTTGTGGTGAATCCTTTGTTTTTGGTCTATTTGGCATGGAATTCACCAGTTTTTTTATTGTTCCAAAAGATTTTTTTTTCATTCTTCTAGGAGAAACCTTTTGGTCCACATACAGTATACCGTGTTTCCTTACTCTGTGGTCAAGATTACGTTTAAGGATATTCAAATAGACATGTTGATCTATTGTTCCATCAATAAACTCAAAGATTGCTAGCACCTTCAACCGACATCCATCACACATTTCTCCCTCTGTTTTGCAGTTGCTTGAACATGTTTTTCTTGTAGTTCAGCTTTCGGTTGTATCCAAACAAAATTCCTTCCATTACAATGAATTAATGAGAATTAACTTTCTCTCTCTACTTTTTAATTAATCTGCAGTAATGCAGATTAATAAAAACTATTAACTGTCTTATGGTTTACGTGATTACGGTAAAGCCTCGAAGGCAACCTGCCTAGGGGAAGGACGCCTTCATGGAGGACTTTGTAAGGGAAACTGGCTCGTACACACGATACACATGGGGAAAACCATGAAAACGTCCATGCAACCAGCCCGTTAGCGGGATTCGAACCTAACTCCCACTGTTCTGCTACTTTACCTCTCGGCCGCTGGTGGGCATTACTAGTCTTAAATTACTCTGATTGATAAGTACAGAATGACAAAATACACTCACGTTTGTGAAAATTGCAACACCATGAAGGACTTAACGCGAGTGAGCTGAAATTTTCAGGAAATGCAAAGTAGCGCATGATATGCAAATGATTAGAATTGCAAATCCGTAGCGCATGCGTATGCTGAGCAGCGCCCTCTGAACGGCTGATGGATCCGAATAAATAGACGGCTGTAGCGAGGCGTGTATGGTTATCGGTGGTTATCTGCTAGTGGTAAACGTTAACTCAATCTGTACTTATGCCTCGTCGACGAAAGAGAGCGAGATTTGAACAACTTACAGAGTTTGAACGAGGAGAAATCATCGGCCTTCGTGAAGCTGGATTGTCGTATCGTGCAGTAGCCTTTCGTGTGCAGCGTAACAGCGCACAGTGATGCGCGTTTTGGAAGCAGTGGACGGAACGAGTGTCGGACAACTCGGAAATCCGGGAGTGGACCCCGAAATGTGACGTCAGCTCGCGATGATAGACACCTGGTCCGCATGGCGCGGCGGACCGTACAGCTTCTCTAGACAATTGGCAGCACTGTGGTCAATAGCTACAGGTGTTTCATTGTGTGCTTCATCAATTCGTAAGAACGTCTGCTGCAGTGTGGACTGCGCGCACGGACTCCTTTATACAGGATCCCCCTAACGCACGACCATCGCCGCCTGCGGCTACAATGGGCCAATCAGCATAGAGACTGGCGTGCTGATTGGCAGCATGTCGTGTTTTCTGACGAATCCCGCTTTAATTTGTGGTACCATGATGGCCGCATTCGTGTCAGACGCTATGCCGGTGAACGCCACCTTCCGGAGTGCATTATCGAACGCCACAGTGGACGAACACCCGGAGTTATGGTCTGGGCGCCCATAGCATATCAATAGACGATCTCAATTGCTACGAATTGTGGGCAATCTGAACAGCAACCGTATATCCGTGAAGTTTTACAGCCCGAACTGTTCCCTTCCTTCAAGCTTGCCAGGCGCTGTATTAAGGACAGCCGCCCTCCGCCGATTGTTATTTCTTTGCCGCAGAATGCGTTTTCCCCATTGAATTGAACTGTTGGGTCTGGTCGGTCTCTCTGACTCGTCTGAAAGCTGTAATTTGGAGAACGGACGTGTGTCGTTCGCTCCTTTTTTTTCGAGATTTTCTATTGGAAATTCTGCCGCCGAAAGTGCGCCGTTGGTTTTAAAGTGTGTATGAATATCTGCTACATGCGTGGATACTTTGTTTATGTGTGTGTGACCATTTTTTACGGAGATATAAGTGTTTTAGTGCAATAACAAAGGATTATAGGCTGCTGCAATTTCAGCGGACTTCTGTTCACTTACCTCGCCGCCTTCCCTACGGAAGGTTCCCGCCGGCCAAACACGTGGCACCGAGGTAGGCTTAACTTTTTGCTTGAAATTTTCTAAGTCCAGAGATTAGACAATTGTTTTCAAAAATCCATAACTCTTCAAATTTTAGTGATTTTCATACCGGGTTTTGTTCAAAATGTGTTAAATTTTAAGTTCTATCTTTTTGTATTACTTAATATAATCTTGTATTGATATTTAACGAGTTAGTATATAATAGCTATGTTTTTATGCACTTATGCTAAATTTCACCCTGTATTTAAATAGGCTTAACTGTATTTTCATATGTATTTGCTCCAAAGGGTTTGTCCTTTTGGCAGTTGTTTTTTCGCGAAATTTTTAACATTGTCGAGAAGTTGAACTTTTTGTCGAGATCCAGTTCTCGTCATTAGACTATTGTCGAATCTCACTCGACAAGTGTTCGGTTTTCGTTTTTTGACATTTGTATTGATTAAAATAGTGTTTTAAGTATATTTCTTGATCTCTCAACTGTCTTATAATATTCCTTAAGCATTGTTTCACTTTATTTTATGGTTTTTTTTTATGTAATTTAATTAATTTTACTGGACTTAGTTGTTTCATATTGTGAAGATTGAAATCTATAATCTCTGCCTATATTTAGTGTCTTGCTATTATAACTGCTGATAATATACCTCGATATGTATTTGAGTCAGTTAAAATTTTAGTCATTCTGCTGTCTAAACATTACTTTGTGTATATTGATTAGTTATACAGGAATTTTGCTTGTATTATTCTCTGTTATCACGTGTCACATAGACATTTTAATCTGATCGTTCTTAGTGACTTTTGGACATTGCACTTTTAGTCTATGTTTTACTACTGCTCTTTAATACTTTATAATGTCCCGTAAATCTGTTTTAACAACTGCCAGAGAAACATCACAGGGGGCTACTAGCGCACCCGATTTGTTAGACTCTGACTTACCTTATGCGGATAAAATTACACTACTCTGTGCTGATATACGCAAAGTAGCTACCACCAGCAGAGGTGGCAGAATCCTCTTATCTTCGGATCTTCGAGAGCATCTGTTACAATCTCTGACAACTTTGCAAACTTTGGCCTTACAGGGGCCTGAGGGCTTACCTATTCCAGAATTGGTGGACGCTGAAGTCAATACATCTACCATACTTTGCTGTGAAGCGGTTCGACAACATTCTTTCCAGTCACCTGTTCTCCCATCTACAGCTGATCAGGCTTTGGCTCCTGCTCCATCTTTTGCGGATATTGTTCGACGACCTAAAAAGCCTAGCCTTATTATTCGTCCTAAAGCTGACACTACTAGTGATACGCTTAAAGAACAGCTTAATACCAAAGTTCCGCTCTCACAACTTAAAGTTGGAATAGATCGTATTACTAAAATAAATAACGGAGGTTTGGAGGTCTTCTGTCAAACACCTGATGATGTTGCGATACTCGAACAAGAACTCACGCGCTCTGATGTACCAGCAGATGTCAGTAGACCAATCAGACGAAAACCAAGAATTGCTATCCATGACTTGCCGGAATCAATCACACCGCAAACAGTACTTTCAGAACTCAGCGGAGCCACGGGATTGCCAGAAACAGCATTCACGATGCGATTCCGTCTCAGGGAGCGACGGAAGGGATACATTAAATGGATTGTTGAAT